AGCCTCTTATTCACCTACCTATTAACTAACCATTTGATGTCGTCAATTAATTTTCCTTTTTGCATGAATTACCTATAGTATTTAGGCTAACTCGTATATTCCTACATGCAATTCGCCTATGGTATTTAGGTCAAATATCAACACATAGAAACTCATTAAAATCAGTGAAAACCTCAAACAAGTATGTAAACCCTAGGAGTATGGTATTTACCCTAGACAAATTACAAATCCTAATCACAAGAAGCAAGCCTCAAATTAAGTATAGTATTTACTCTAATTTGCATCCGATTAACTCAAGATAATCAACCAAGTTATTAAGCACAATGATTAAGAATCCAACATCAAACGACAATCAATAGATAGGTAAAATAACAAAACTAGATTATCATACTAGGGCTACATCATGCCTTAGCAAAAGAAAATTAGTTACACATAATCATAGAATTCGACATAACCAAAAACATAAGGAAGAAACAATAAAACTTAGCCAATTGCGGCACTCTTCCGGCGTTTCCAATTTCTCTTAGTCTTTTCATCCTCCCAAATGAGTTGTTTCTCATGCTTAAATAAAACACCACACGTCTATTCCTACTCTAGCTGGGCTTTTACAACAGCCCAAAAATAAAGAAATACCTAATTAAAACATAAATCCAAAATGGGTAAGTAATTGACTTTTCTTCCTACTTTGATTGGGATAACACGTTAGTTAATTTGCACGCACGTTTGGAATCATTCCTCCTCCAAGAAAATTCAGAAAAAATATGTAAATTGTAGGTCTTTGTCTTATCTTTCTAGCCATATATTGCACGTCATGAGGAAAAATAAGAAAAGTCTTCAAATAACATTCTTCCACAGCAGTACAGTTTTGACAAGATTGCACCCTATGCTGACTTAACTTCAAAGACTGCTATCATTGATTACTCCGAAAATTCTAGAAAAATTCCACAATCATCTTCAAGATCTTAGCTTTCATCTCCAACAGGTTTCACTGGCGAACCCAGAAATTTTTTCACAGAGGCGCAGTTTTGGCCAGAATGACTAAAGAGTTTAGAAGCTCAACAGACTAAATTAATATTTCAATGGTAAAAGCCGACAACCAATGGCGGAAATCAAATTTGAAAGCAAAAAAACTATGTAATCTAATTTATAAAAAAATATATATATATAATCTAAAATGAAAAAAAGAACTTTGATTAAGGGGGAGTTTATTTCATCTTTCCTATCGTTCGAAGAAAAAAAGGGAGTTTATTTCATCATAAAAATATAACAGGAGTAATTTCATTTATTATTTATTTAATAGTAAATTGGAAGTTCAAAGGGTTTTTGAAAGAACCGTGCATTCATTTTCAACATGCCTTTTTGGAAGACCCAATTTCAAAGCTTTAATTTATTATTTATTTGATGATAAGTTGGAAGCTCAAAGGGTCTTTTGAAAGACCTGTGCCTTCTTTCTCATTTCTCCTCTTTACATCACTTCAGACCCAATTTCAGGGCCTCCATTGCTCTCTCTCCTTCCATCTCTCTTCAATGGCCTACACTCGCTCTTAAGTAGATCCGCCACTGTGCGTAGCACAACAAGCCTTGGTTTTGGTTGAGGCAATTCATCGAACAGGTTGAGTGAACCACCCAACCTTACCAGAGGAGGAAGATGCAGCGCCTACAGAGGCTATTCCGGCGAAGAAAGGTGCAGCTGCACCTCCTTATGCCTTAATAAGTCCGCCAGTGACTGGTCTTGTACTAAAACTCCACCAAAAAATTGTATTTCCATTGAAAACCAATTACTTGTTCCAGAAAGCTAAAAATTGAGAAAATAAAGTAATAAGTCCTTTTTGAATCAAATTCTCCTACAAAAACTAAGTATAAAGAGTACATAAAAGTGTAGATTTATGGACTTATCAAGGTAAAAACTACACATAAAACAAAAAAGTGTATGCAACTTATTCCGAACATGTAAAGAAACTACAAAAAGGATGGTGGTGGAGATCCGACGCCGAGACGTAGCCGCCTATGATGGGTGGAGTGAAATCATAAGAAAACGAAGACATATAGGGAAAACCTTATGTCTTTGAAAATGGAGGAAGAGAGGAGGAGAGAGGGGAGAGAGAAGGAAGAACAATGACTTCCTCCTCCCTCAAAATGAAAATGGCGCTAAGAGGGTTTTTTAGGAGAAAGAGGGCTAAGGTTTTTTCAGAAAGGTCCTAACTTGAGCTTGAGTTTAGCGTATTTAATTCATTATTAAATAATTTCTAATGTAAATGAAACATGTGGTTATCGTAATTAACAGAAAATTAATATGTGGAGCATGCATATAAAAATACAATAATTTTATGAACATAACATGTGCATATATAATTCAAATAAAAAATTATCAATTGACAAAAGGCTATCTGGCAGAAAATCCTAAAAGTGACGATGGGTCATAAAAGTATTTTTTATAGAAAATACTTTAATTTTTAATAAGAATGTTTAAGAATAGATAGAAAAATAGTTTCTCAGCAAAAGTGCTTCCTACATAAGTAGTTCTAACAGGCCCCAAGTCTATTTGTACCCAAAAAAAATGATACCAAAGTATGCTGGGTGCCATGTCACTCCTTTCGAAATTCTCTAGTCTGAAACCTTATATCTGCAAGTGCAATGTGGGCTGTAAATATTAATTTGGACAGCTGAAAAAAAAAAAGAAAAGATCATAGAGTAGGAAAAGGTCAACTTTACCCATTCCCGCGAGCCATATTTTAGATACTTAAATGAAAGTTTAAAAAGTTTTATAGCCCCAAAATTTGAACACCCAAATTGATGCCACCTCTCCATCTTCTCTCAGTTTCTTCAATGCTTATTTTCCTTCCAACTTTCAGAGTTGTGCAGTGGTGGTGTTTTGGTAGGGGCGGAGTTTTGGTTTGGTAATTGAAGCCAATACCAACGAGAAGAAGGTTTTCTGAAATCGAAGATTACATATGGTATATATAATATTCATCATTAGAGCATCTACAATGGGCTCTGTAAACTATCTCGTTAGACAAATTTTATAGAGGAATTGGAAAAATACAACTTTAACCATGCTCCCTATCCACCTTCTAAAATAAGGAGATTTCTAAGAATTCCTATATATGAGGAGAGAGAAAGAATTCCTAGTGATTCTTTATAATTTAATGCTGCTTTAATGAATATTTCAAACTTTTAATTAATGCTAACTATTTTTTATATTATTTTTTAATAGAAATTGTGGATGCTCTGCTCCGTTTGGATGAAGGAATTGCAAATTACATAGAATTTTAAAATGACAGAATTTAGATTTCCGTCATTTCAATTTCTAGCAATTGAAGATTTCAGTGTTTGGATTTATGTATGTCGAATTTTGTAAATGACAGAAATTGAAAATTTCAATGTTTGGATAGCTCATGTAAATTATAAATGAAAGAAATTAAATATTTCGAAAGAACAAAAAAACTGATAACTGACATAGAAGGTATTCCTCGAAGTATGAAATAACATATCGTTTGATGAACTAAATAACTCAACTTAAACAAACAAAGCATATTAGCAAACCAAATCACTCCCCACGTGCAATGAACATCAGTAACATACTTTTTTTTTTCTCAATTGGGAGTGCCTATGGAATTAGAACTAGAAGCAATCAGCAATCAAGACCCTGATTCTTCTTTTTCACTTGGCAAAAGACCAATGACCAGAGAAACTGAAAGGGCTTTGATTAAAAAGTTGCAAACAAAAGTATAGGAATAAATGATGAAATCAATGAATCACTATCAATAAGACTTAATTTAAGTCCCAAAGAATGAAGGAGCACCTTGGCCAAGCTGCAGCTTACGAGCAAGTTGGTGTAGCTTACAATCAACATCTAATGGCTCACACAAAGCGATAAAGCTAACAAACAACTACAGAGCAAGGCGATAACACAAAGTGATAAAGCTAGCAAACAACTACAGAGCTGTACCATAAACACCAATCACACACCAATATCCATGGGCATAGAGTATTTTGTTAAAACTTCCCAAAAATCCAGCCACAGTGCCGCAAAGATCACAAAACCCATTCAACACATTCATAAATTTAGTCAAAAACACCCAATTTTGATAGCCATTCAGAAACCATGGTAACCCTAAAATAAAAAATATATAAATTGAAGGAGAGAAAGGCTTGAAGACTAACCTTCAAACTTGATCCAAAGAGCCATGTAACCCAAGAAGAACTCCTTCTCCTTACTTCTCTGGCTATACTCAGTTTCATAGGTTTTTGGTGTCTTTTTTTTTTTTTTTTTTTTTTTTTTATTTTTTGGTTTTTTTTTTATGTAAGTTTTGGCACACTGGAAATTATGAATTCCCGCACTACGGAAATTGTGAAATGACGCCTATTTTGGTGGAAATTAAACTCGGGAATTTGATACCTCAATTTCCATGATTTTTTCCACGCGTCATTTAATAAGTTCCGCGTTTAAGTTGCCAAACAAGGGAATTGTCAATTTCTCTTCTTCAATTCCCGACTTTTACCTAAATTCCGAATTATTTTCCCTCATCCAAACGGAGGGTGGTTCTCATAATGCGCTCATTAGGTTGCATTTAACTTTGAGCTATATTGCACGTGTAAAATGGAACATGCTTTTGAGCTATGGTTCCCGAAATCCGAGGTCTTTGTGGGCTGCGTAAATAATATGTCGGTGGCAAGTACATTCATGGGAAAGTGGAAAACAAAAGGAAGATTGAAGTTTCAATGTATTTCAACTTCATTCAGTCCAATTTAGAGTTAGTTCCGTCCGATTTTCTCTACTTAATAATGAATTTATGTCAGTTCTCTACTCAAAGCACAATGACTTGAAAAGAAGTTAGGATTTCTTAAGACGCAAGACTTTCACTTTATTTATGTTTGAATCACACTTTTTTATTGGGTTTAACAGTAACCACTAGTGGCACGCCTACAACCAAACCATATCAAATACATTTTGAGCCCATTCTAGGGGCCAGATTACTTGAAATCAATCCAACTAAGTGCTAGAATAGAAAGCCACGCTTTCGGGGTGAACAGTAGGAAATAGACATCAGCTCATACCTAAATTTCTCTTGATCAGAATCTATCGTTTTAACCAGAGTTTCACCATTCAACTTTCCAGATGAGAGATTTGAAGGGAGAATCTTATATGGTTCAAGGTAAGAAATGGCGATAAGCGACTCACGCGTCACTTCTTCAGCTGCCCCGTTTCCAAGTCTTGCTTTATCCATAAAATGTCTGATCTTCTTGCTCTGCATGCATTCCAAACATAAAAAATGTTAACTGGAAAAAGGATACAGCTGCTTCAATAAAATAAAAGATGTGCATGAAAGTTCTAAATGTCTCAATTAATCTAGGCCGAAGAATACTTGAGAGAGAGAGAGAGAGAGAGAGAGAGAGAGAGAGAGAGAGTTACCGAGAAGTTGAAGGCGCTTGGGGAAGAAAGGTGTTGGTGAATGGGGTTAGCTACGTTACGTATGGCTGTACTGTGTTGTCTTTCTTCAATTTTGATTTATTACCGAAAGAAAAGAAAACTCTTTTTTATAGAGATGCTCGTAGAACGTCCTTGAGTCGTTCAAAACGAAAAGAAGTTGGTGAGAAGAAAACGAAACCCCAAAAGAAGTGTTTTTTCGTTCCAACTGACTTTTTTTTTCTCGTTATAACCGAATTGCAAAAGACATATTATAAAATCCAAAATCTGTTTATTTATTTATTGCTTGAATAACAAAGTACAACTCAAAAGAAGATTTTCTTTGTAAACATGTCAAATTTTAGTCTAAAAAATAATAAATTATAAAAATTAACAACGAAATGGTATTTTCACACTCGTCAAATTCTAAAACAGAAGAAAATTAAAGTCCTAAATACGTCAAGGTAGCATTTACCATATTAATTCTCTCAATCATTTCGATGTGTAGTTTAGAAACAAATTCTATTGTAAAGTATAAATGAATACTTTTGTTCTAGATGATAAAAAAAAGTGGTTAAATATGTATTAGAGCCCATTAATTTTTTTTAATATGGCTTCAGGATCATTAATTTCCTCGTTTTTTTTATTTCCTTTAATTTTTTAACATCCCTGTTGAATTTTGTCCTTTTGTCTCAACGTGGATGCTTCTTCTATTGTAAGAAGAAGGTGTCTATTACTTTAAGAGATATTTAGTCATATACTCATTCTTAATACTAATAATATAAATAATCATACACTATTTAATTTCTATAAACAAACCCAAAAAAAATTCAAAAAATGACAGCCGGTCATATTGAATTTAATTTTGATTATTAAATTACTTTGATACTCTTTTGAGTATTTTGGGTTTTTCATGAGGTTTTGGAGTTGGACTTGTTTTAAGAAATTAATGGCAATTTTGTAATTTATAAGAAGTTAAAAGCCTCTTTGTTATGTTGTAAATGAGTTTTGCGTGTGTTTCTAAAGTCAATTTCATATAGAATATTTTTATAATTTAAGCAGTTATATTGAGTATAATAGTGAATCTCTCTTAATTTAATTATTAAATAATTTCTAATGCGGATGAAACATGTGGTTATCATAATATCCGAAACATGTGGAAGAGTAAGAAAAATAATCGACGACCAAAAGAAGCCAAGTCCACAAAAGCCCAACACAACAAAAACGCAGAAAAGGTCGGCAAAGAAATAAGACACAGCAGCAGGCGGTTAGAAAGCTCCAACTCGACTGGAGCCAATACACAGCAGTCTGGCAACAGGACCCACCAATTCAATAACCAAAATCAAGAGCATGTTAGGCAACTGTTTTTGAAATTGAAAAGGTTAAAAACGTTTTCTAACTATTTAAAAACGCTTTTGATATATTTTGGGCAGAATCTTTTTTTGGGTTAATTATTGTTTATAACAAAATTAATATTCTACAAAAAAAAAATTTATTTCAATTAAAATGAAAACTTGTAGGCCATCACATTTTTCATGAGCAGAATTTTGTTGCTGATTCTTTGGCTTCTATGAGCCATGATCTTCCCTTGAGTTTGCATATTTTGGATTCAGCGCCTAGTATGGTTGTGGAGCTTCTTGCTGCTGATGCCAGAAGCTTGGCTCGTCCAAGGATGATTGTTGTGTAGTTCTTTTTGTGTTGTTTGGGTTTCGGCCCCCTACTTTACCAAAAAAAAAAACTTGTAGGCCATCATTCCACATGGCTTGAATTATTTTCTGACTTGATGCCCATCTTCTCTTGTCTTCTTTTAATTTTTTATGACTTGATGCCCGTCTCCTCTATCTACTCATCTTAACTTTTCCTGAATTCTCTGCATTTCCTCTATCTCCTCATCTTTTCATTGAATTATTGTCTCTGCTCATCCTCTTTTATCTTGTTGCCATTATTTTCTTAACCCGAATTTTGTCCTAGACAAGTTTTTGGTGCAGCATCATCCAACCCAGGTGAAGACAAACATAAAAGAGGGGTCCTTGCGTGCGTATCAATTGTCAGCCACAAAGGCCCAGATGAGTGCAACATTGAAATCGGATGAACATGGTTCATTTTCTTTTTTTAAATAATTCTCAACAACAACTACATCTGATCAATGTCTAGGATTTAATCTAACCAATTTCAACGTGAAAAAACAAGATCCAATGGCTGAAATTAAAATCCAACTGTCAAAATATATTTTTAATTATTTGTTAAATAATAACTAAAATAATTTGTTCCTTTCTCACTTTGTTATTTTTGTTCATTCTTCTTTCATTTTTGTTGGATATGACCCCAAAATTTTGAATATGTGTGAATTGGAAACCACAAGAAGATGAGACATTATGCAAAAGGCAGGTTTCTACCATTGAAGATGGGGTTGTTGGCACCAATCAACCAAACAACACATTTTGTTGATGATTGTCATCATCATAATCAAAATCTAATAGCATTTGTAATACCTTGCCAGTAGAAGCTGTGGGAGCGATTTTCGTCCAACGAGAATATTCGTCTAAGATTCTCCTTTCTTCTTCGTCGTCTCTTTCTCATTGCAAAATAAATCGGAATAAGAGGACCACACCCGAAGGGTGTTGGCTAAAAGTCATCTGATGCCTAAGTTAGTTCAATTGATTCGTAGAGAAACAATAGCTAAGAAGGGTATGAAGTTGTATGTATGGTGTGAACCGGGGCGCTGGAGCCGTGTGTGGTAGCCGGAGTCTTGTGTGAGAGAGAGAAAGAGTATGGCGGCTAGGGTTTGTAAAAGATAATTTATGCAGAGTTTCATAGAGGAATTTAGACGTACCTCAACCCTTGTGCGTAGCCATGTATTTATAGGAGGCCTCGGAGGCTAGGGTTTCAAAAGAATAATTCCACATATAGAAAGGAATTATTCTTCCCTAATTTGGCGCTTAATTAGGGATTTGATTTATTTGTTTTAAATCAAATCTCTAATTAAGGTAGGAATCAAATCAATCTCAATTAAATGAAATAACTCTCAATTAAATTGGGTAACTCCCAATTAAATTGAGTAACTCCCAATTAGGTAAAATAATCCCCAAATTGAAGGAAATATTTGACTTAGGGTTTTGATTTAATTTGGTTACCATAGAAACCATCAAAAGTTTTAATTGTGAAGCAAAAGGATGAGATTGAAGATTATGGCATGTTTGGTTGGAAATCCTAACTCTTCTTCAATATACTTTAGAAAATAATAAAAACAAATCATGACAAGATTAGGAAGATCTGGTGTAGAGTTTTGGGGTTTTTTGGGCTAAAAATATGATAATTAGGGTTTCCACCCCCCAAGCGTTGGAGATGGCCTAAAGAGGGTTTATTCTCATTTTGGCATGAAGTGAGGCATCCATCAACTCAAATGTGAGTGTAATTATTTATTCACTAGGGGAGTTGACTGTTCATAACTCTTGGAGAATCAAGAAATGAAATATCTCTTTGATGAGAATGATCTTTGAAGGAAATTGAGGTTTCACCCCAAAATTAATTGGTTATAGGGGGAATAGCTCAACTCCTTATAAACCCTTGCTAGATTTCTCAATTTTCCAATGTGGGACTCTTTATCTTCATATTCTCACACGCCTCCGCACGTGTGGCTTTCAAGCCTAACAAGTGGACAACACATATTAGGTGACGTGGAGCACGTGTGACCGTTGGGCTTTCACACGTGGGCTAACCTGGCTCTGATACCATTACGGAAGTTGAGGTTCTATCCCAAAACAATCCCACATTGAAAAGTTAAGGAACCTAACCTGAGTTTATAAGGAGTTGGGTTACTCTCCCATTGCCAATTGATTTTGGGGCGGAACCTTAACTTCCTTCATACTTCACGGGTTTGAGAGAAGGTGTACAAAGGGTGTATCCTATTGACTCGGGTTTAGGTACAAAACTCTTTGAGTGTTTATTCTTGTACTTCAATTTGTTTTCTTCTTTCATATAGCAAAGGTGGCAACACTCTATGGACGTCTTAACCACATTAAATTCTTGGTGTACTCTCTTTTTTCACTCATTGTCATCTTGGTACTTTATTTATTTTTACCTTTCCATCAGTAATTGACGTAACGAGAAGAACTAATTTCCCAACAATCTCAAAACATAAGCCCAAGAACCACCTCAGGAACAACACAATCTCCTCATTGTTAAGGCAGTCAAAATAGATTGAGCAAGAATGCATTTTACCCTTTATCAAAACCAGCTTGGCACAAAACACAAAGGGTGCTAGGCTGATGAGGGGTGTAGCTTGTCCATGATGTACAATCTTATGTTGATGGCTAATGATAGTAAGTAGATATGGCAATATCGTAAGCGACCCATTAACACGACAAGAATTCGTAAAAAAATTTCAGTTTTTGGGTCCGAGTTATCAGGTCATGTTACTATCGTTTTGACCCGCTAGCCACAAGGTAAGCTAACGGGTCCTTTCAGCGTTCATTCATGAAAACATGAATCAACCTGTTAAACGGGGGCCTTTTTGTTTTCAATCTCTCCGAATCAAAGCCAACTCTTCTATGATCAAACAATCCAATCAAATTATATCCAAAACAATCAAATCTCCTCCATGCAACATAATTAGCCCCAAAATTTCAAGAAAAAAAACTCATAATCACACAAATATGCAACTGAGAAAAAAAGAAAGAGAGGAAGAAGAAGAAGAAAAAAAAAGCAGAGAGAGGAATAAGAAGAAGAGAAAGGGAAAAGAGAGAGAAAGTTGCAGAGGGAAAGATGAGAGAAACCAACCACCACATACCCAGCTCGACCACCATCACCACCCAATCTAACCACCACAACCATTAATTAGTGGAACCAGAGAGAGGTGGGTTGATGGGATTCATGCCATGGAAGGAAGGAGGAGTGAGAGTGAAAAAGAGGGAAGGAAGACGAAAAGAGAAAGGAGAGAAGAGGAAGAAGGAAAGGGGTCTGGGAAGGAAAGAACAAGAAAAGAGGAAGAAAGAAAGAAAGAGAAAAATGTGAAAATAGAAAGGAGTTATTTTATTCTAAGATTTTAAAATTCATTAAAAAATAGTTTATTTTCTTATTACGTGAGACGTCTTGTGTCGTGTGATTCGCGAATTGTAATGGTTCGTGTTTGTATTTGACATTTTCAACCCGTTTTCTTATTGTATCATGTCAACCCATTAAAAAAGCGAATTGACACGAAAACTGAAAAAATAACACGAATGTCAGGTCTAATAGTAAGAGTGAATATGGGGGTGAGATTGAAATTGTTGCATAAAATGTACGTCTCGACGTCTGCCAGCCGAGCAGGAAGTCCTAAATTTCAATGTGAAATTTCTCACTAATACCTTGGTATTTAAAAAGAGTAGCTGACTGATTTTTATGCACATTAAAAAAATATACATTTTACCAAGTAGCTGACACTCCCAGAAAGGGAGATTCATGGGCATGTTTCTTGAGGGTTTCTGGGTGTACAGGTACACAAAAATCCAAGTTAGAAAACTGAACTTCGTAAATTTGAGTGACCAGCTGATTACAAATCTAGTTACTTATTTCTCATCTGAAATTTTGGTTATACATTTGTGTAGAACTACTTTTCCAACTAGAAGATGAGGGTGTCGACGTAAAATAACCCTCAATCTAAACCTGCTTACATTTGATCATGGACCCTAAGCAGCAACAGCATCAGGGTGAAAAGTGGCTGAAAATTCGAAGACCTTGGCACCACCATCTCCTCAGCTTCATAATCTAATTGCGCCAGCTGTTTTGCTTCTTCGCTTCAAAGGAAGCTCCGTCGTTTAGCATGTCCTGAGCATCAGTTTCCATTCCCAGTTTGGAGAGGGCGAGAGCCTGCATGTAGAAGGCAGTTGGCCACTCGGGCAAGCACACCTGAGCTTGCATGGCATCTCTCAAAGCTAATTCTGGCTGTCCATTCATTAAGTAGGCGAGGGCTCGCCTCACAAATACGGTACCCGAAGGAACAGACATCATGGAAACCAACTGAGCAAGTAACAATTATCAAATATTAAAATACAATTATAAAGATAGAAATAGACTGATTTTTTCTTTTTTTTCTTTTTTTTTGCTGAAATATATTGACATGTCTGCAAGTGCTCACGGTTCAGGTCACCTTTTCCTTATATTAAGCCTTAAATGTGTTTGTATTCCAAAAACCAAAAATTGCTTAAATGTGTTTATAAAGAAGTAGTTCGTTCCCCAGAAAATCTTTTCTGTGGTCTGTGGTTCATCATGTCCCCCAAATAGAAAGATTCCTTTGGACTGTATCAAATGGTAACCGGACAACAATCGCATCAGTGGCACCTCCCATATGGAAAGTAGGAGTTTCTGGATAATTTGTTTGTCATTTTCTGCTCGTATGATTTTAAGAGCCAGAAAGATTTTGTAAAAGGTAATATTCCACTTTAATGGAAAATAAAAATCTTACAGTCAAAAGATGCTTTAAGGAACATGGCATCCCCATTTCAAGATTTTAATATCAGAAATTGCTAACTAGAGCAGTACATCATAGGAATCAAATTCTGCTTTAAAGAATAATAGTAAATGTAACGAACAATAGAAATTAAAGAAAATACCTTTGAATAATACTCCACAGCATTTTTAAAATCCTTGTCTCTAAACGCAATATCCCCAAATTTCTTGGTATTCAACATATCTTGCACTTGTTGTGTCCACTCTTGAAATGACAGCTTTAGAACACATTTGCAGTGAAAGTGATCATTATATAAGATTACAACTCACAAGCATTTATAAATGAAAACTAAAAAAAATAGTCCTATAGAAAAGCAAACTACTAAGAACATAGTTTAAGACAGAAAACTATATTTAAAGAGATGTGTTACAGAGGCTAAGCAAAACTGATGTAGACCATCAACCAAGTTTTAGGTAAAATAGCGGCATTTGCTCAAGAAACTTTACTTAATGGAAGAAGGTTGCCTTCTTTAATTCCTTAATATGGTAAGATTATATTTAAGTTATATATATATGTGTGTGTGTGTGTGTGTGGTTCACCTACATAGAGAAGAAAAGAAACTCACTTCATTTTCTGCACCCTCTTCATCTCTATAACCAGTTTTTAGCAAAATCTCATGAACTGCAGAAAGGTCCATCCGTACACAAGCCTTTCCAAGGGGAGAAAGCATGGTTGGCAGCACGACTGGAGTTTTAGTTAAACCCATTAGAACAAGTGAGGCAACCTAAAATACCAATGTGAGCAAATGAACATCTTAGTAAGCATAAAACATAAGAAGTAATTACAAACCAAGTTACCACAAAATCCTAGTTTTCAATCAGGCACAAAGGCTCTTCAAAATACCTCTGTCTGCTTTTGGAGGGGGGCTACAGCTGAAAGAAGAAATGTGATCTCTGGTCGATCTTTAGCCTCATATTGAAGACATTTTGAGGCCAGTTCAACCAACTCAGTTGCATCTTCATTGGCATATTGTCCTTCTAAGGATGAATCCATTAATAATAACAAATTTTTTCCCCTTATCAAGTCCAGTGCCTAGGAAACAACAAGAAAGATAATTCCGCAAAGTAAGAATTTGTACACGACATGTGTGCTCCAATCGTTAAAGACAATGAAACACCATAACAATCGATGATTCCATGACATCGAAGAACAAACAGTCTTACACATCATTAATTGCAAAGAAAGCTATATGTAGTGCTTAGACTTGCAGCAAGTAGACAATAGTTAGCAGGGTAGCTACAACACAGTTGGTTACTGTGTTGATGGGACTTGTTGCTACTTTATTCATTACCAACTATATGGCCCTCAATAGCTTCTCAACAATGAGGCTAGGCTCAAACAGTTGTTTAAAGCATCAACTCATTTGAAAAGACAGTGTAGCCCTTGGTAAAACCATAAAATTAACAATGGTCAATTTTGCTGGTCAAGTCCATCCCTCGCACATTATGGAGCATCCATTGGTTTTTCATTTTTGTTTATAGCTATTAGCTACCTACGTACTCCATTATTTCTGCTCAAGTATTTAGTCTTGATTCCATATGCAGATGGTGTAAGTACTACCATCCCAAGTTAACATAAATGTAGGCATATGATTAGTCTATAAGAATTAAATGTCAAAATGTGATCCAATTTAGACAACAATGAGAGACAATGCTTGTACCTACTTGTGGAGCTGCAAAAATTATGTTTGAAACAATAGGAGGATGACTATATAGGGAAACAATCTCGTATTACTTATAAGTCAAACCATTGTCTCTTTAGTATTACCCTCAACAACACATCTTTAATTCTTTTTTTTTCAACCGAAGATCTATATGGTCTATGGGATGACGCTGCCACTGGAGGCTCGTAATGTAACACTCTTTACCTTTGTGTTGGGAGGAATTTTAGTGGGGGTTGATTACTACCACTGCCTCTGGAAATATTACCCCTCTTACTCTTGCCTTATTGCCTTTCCATTCACTCTCTTTAGATTCTCTAACAGCAGATCGTCAGCATGATTTGACAATAAATATAAATATCACATGATTGACCTAAAGAGTGAAAATTCCATGAAGCTTGAGATAGTGAAGAAAATTAAAGATAAAATATGTGAAGAATGTATACATGGCTAGGAGGGATATGTTTTCCACTCAAAAGGTCAAGAAGAACAGTTCCATAACTGTAGATCACACTCTCTGGAATGACCCTACCTGCAAAAACCATACATTTTATTATTTAGAAAAGATAATGGTATTTGTTTTGTAACTATTATCTGAAACACACCATAAATTATCCTATTATTCTGCTACCAATGCACTTTTAGAGAGTTTAGGGATAGTTCTTTTCCTGCAATATGGTCTGATTGGAATTCTGCTCTTTTTTTTCAGTTTCACTGCTGTGATACGTTGTATTGGAAGTCTTATCTGTTGGTGTCGTTGGTCTTGTCAGTGGAGTAAGCAGGTTTTAGTTCATCAGGCTCAGTGGATATCTTCTCCACCACATTTTACTTCCTCTTTCAATTAGTGAAATTCAGTTTTATATCCAAAACAAAAGGCAAAAAAAGAAGAAAAAGAAACTTAATTGCATTTTAATCATCAATGGCATTATTATTTTTAACAAGACTGATCGTGTAACAAAATCAAGAATGGGAAGTCAAAATATTTCCTCTATGTTGAAATCAGGCAAGAGACTTCACTTTCTTTGGAAGGCAGGGAAATTGAAGCTTGCTTAGGGGAACTAAAGAATAAAGCCTCTGGGTCTTTCGTATTGGTAAATGGTAATGCTCAAACCATAGGAAGCACATGATAACAAAATGTGAGTTTCAGGGAATATCTTTCACATCTTGATCTAACTTCACCAGTTAGAACCTATCTTGTTAAGCTTTACTATCGCTCTCTGTAATAGCTTTGTTTTTTTCCCTATTTTCTTTTGGTTTTTAACTTTTAAGTAGAACCTATCATCATTTGACTAGTTATTTTATTTTATGCTCTCATGAATATCACTAACCATTATGACACAAGATCAAATATCATCATATTGAAATCTTGTCACAAATAAGAATCTAATGCTATATGCTGAAAAAATGGCATACCTGTCCGCAAAAATTCAGGTGGAGTATAAGCCAAGTTAGTGCTATAGCTTTTTCCATCTCGGCTATTTTTTATCAGACCAAAGCTAGACAACCGCGGGTCACCATCCTGTGATCCAGTCAAAAATTAAGTTCAACAATAATTAGGGTAAGTTCAATATTAACACCACAAAATATGCTCCGTCAATGTGAACGAGAGAATCAGCCACAGGTACTCAACCAGTTCAGAAAAAGAAAGTTTCAGTAAGGCCCTATCTTGATTCCAATAATTAGGTTTTGAAGTCAATGAAGCACTAAAGCATTGTGTTTGAATATTGTGTACCTCATCAAAGAGAACTCTGTATGCATTTAAGTCATGATACAGTTTTCGGTTTTCTGTATTGCAATGATCAAGGGCTTGTGCAATATAGTATGCAACTCTCACACGCATATCCCATGGCAATGGCTGTTTCTCCCCTACAATAAAGAACATGTGAAAGAAATTAATAAACAGAAATACCTATAGCACAGACCCTAGCAATAGCACCAAATACTATGGGCATCTCATTTAACATATGTAACTTACATATAGAACACTTAAGATACACAATACTTACACCAGAAAAAGGACTATTGCTAGAGCTAAGTGACTAGTTAGAGTCCTTGGATACAGCTAACCATGTTCATTTATGATTGGTGATCACTTCCAAATAAAGTTGCAACTCAACGATTGACCCAAGCAAAACTAAATCATATTATATGTTCCAAAATTATGGGGCTTGTAGAAAATTAGCAACACTACTGTTTATCTAAAATAAATAGTTTATAAGCAGAAATACGCATAAGGAAGATAAAAATATACAGTGAAAGAGGTGCTTTGAGAGAGTATCATTAGGCATGTACTCTGCCACCAACAGCCTCTCATCTCCCTCAGCACAACACCCGATCAAATTCACCAAACGTTTGTGCCTAACCTTGCCAACCCCGGCAGCCTCCGCCTACATACAATCCAAAAAAACCCCATTAGTGTACACCCACTTACGCAAAAACACAAGCACATAAAATACACAACCTCAGTGGCAATGACATACCAAAAATTGATGTGGGTCGGGCCAAGATTGCTTAGAAAAGCGTTTAATGGCCACCAATCGATTATTGCGAAGCTTGCCTCTGTAAACAACATTGGGCGCCTTCTCCCCACTCTCGGAGACTATAAGTTCTGAGTTGAACCCATTGGTGGCTGCTCTTAGCTCTGCTAGACTGAACTCTTTGAAAGCAGGAACTGCTTGTTCATCTTCTAATTCCTCTCCATTAGCTTTCACATCAAAACAGTAATTGTTCAAACACTAATCAATTGTTTTGCTTGTTTAAATCATTTTATGACAAGAAAATATTGAAACTTTGAAACCCAGAAAAGGAAATGAAAAGAGTAAGAGAAGCAAAAGATAAAAACCTGGATCTGTGACAGGAGGGTCTTGGTCTGGGGAAGGGAGGTGTGCTGTTTTGGACTGGAAGCAGCCCATTGCTGAGTGCTACATGCCACCACTGCTTGCTTTCTTTTTGTTTCTTTGTCAAAGTCTATGGAACTTGGACCAGCTGAAGTGAAGTGGGTGTTTTTGTGTGTGTGAAAATGGAGAAAAAGTCAACAAAGAGAAGTGGGGACTGAGAGTGGGAGAGAGAAAGTGAGAGAGTTATGTTTTGGTGGCGTTGTGGGGTTGAGCTGTTCAAGTTCAAAATGGGAAGCTGACATCAAATCAAACTTAGGATTCAGAGGAAGACGAAGACGCACATGGTCAGCTGACAACAGCACGCGTAGCGAGACCGAGGAGGATCCATCCAACGCGCATTTAGAATTTTCTTTCAAAGTTCTCAAAAAGCCCGAATTGAAAAAATTGCTCTTTTCGCCTAAAAGCCAAAAGCCCAAAACAGAACACACGTAAGTCAAAAGTTTGTCCATGGACCTGCGTGTTAGGCCAGGCCAACTCCAACACATTGTGCCAATTAGCCCCAAGAGCTGTATTTGGGCGGTAAATAAAGTAACTTAGGCCCTCAACCAGGCGAACTTCGGCCTGATTTTTCCGGCAGCAAACCCAACGGGCAGAATTGATCTAACAGTCCAGATTTTTCCAGACTGATTTTAACGGGTCAAAAATAATAATAATTTAAAATCCAATAGTCAAAATAATAATTTAAAATTATCTAAATTATATTCAATCCCAAAACTCATCACAAACTCTATAAATAGTCATTCATTTGTAAATAATCAACCAAAATCAAACTTTTCCATTCTCACTTTGTTAATTGTGTTCAACCATCAAATTTTTTTTACAAAGAATGTAATGTCTATATTGGCCCGTTTAGGCCATCTTCAACCATATTGGGGCTAAACTCAAATTTATACTCTCCAAAATACAACTATTCATGTATCTTCAAGACTTAAATTTTTTTTTCCTCTAACCTTGCAGACTCATAATTTGAGTCGCAAGTTTATTAAATTGTTTAAGAATTATTAACCTCTAAATTTTTTTTCTCGTTAATTTTTCTTGACATTATTTTTGTTTCAACATTCATGATTTAATTTTCTAAACATTTTTACCTAAAAAAATTAAAATTCTAAAACATAATATAATTTCACTTAAAAATAAAAACAAGTACAACAACATTTTTTTCATGGACTTTGAAAGTAAAAACAAGTAGCACACAATTTATATTAAAATAATGGAATCACACGATTTTTTTAAAAGCTACAGCAATCCCTGGAGCTGCTACTTTTGCGTATGCCCGGAATAATTCGAACCCTTTATTGAAGCCATTGCCATAATTTTCTTCTATTTTTACTTTTACTTCATTGGATTCATTTATCCTCATTCAATAATATTCTGAACTTTTGCCACCTCCACTTGTGTTCTTCAATTATTTTCTGAACCCTTTCCCATCTCTATTGTCTTGTTTCAATCATGTTCTAAACCGTTGCTCAACTTTGTCTATCTCACTTTATTAGATTCCCTTATCTTTCCCTATCTTTTCCAATCTTCATTCAATTATTTTCTGAATCATTTCCCATCTTGTCTTGTTTCAAACATATTCTGAACCATTGCTCATCTTTGTTCATCCCACTTTATTGGATTCCCTTATCTTTCCCTATCTTTTCCTATCTTCATTGAATTATTTTCAAACATGTAGTTCATCTCATTTTCTTGTCTATTTAAGAAGTGTTATTCTACCAAATTGACCACATAATCTCCTTCAATCTCATTCTTCTTCTTACAATGAATTCACGTGGGAATGCTATACAAAATTTATGATTATGATGATGATGACCTTTATCAACAGAGGGTTGCAATAGCCGTTCAACACCATACGTTTTTATTGGAGCAATATGCTCAACAATCCAAACATAGTGATTCTGTTGTAGGCCGTGAATACAAGAATCGGAAGAGAGAAAAACATCATAAGAGTCTCATGGAGGACTACTTTTGTAAAAGACTACTTTATCCCCCAGTGGACTTTTGCATACAGTTCCGCATGAGAAAAGAGTTTCTCAATCGCATCTTGAATGATATTGTTGCACATAAGCCATACTTTACCCATAAGATAGACGCTTGTGGACAACAAAGTCTATCTCGAGAGCAGAAGCTAATGGCCATTATTCGAATGCTCGCATATGGAGGCTCGGCAGACTCCGCCAACGAGTACTGTAGATTGGGTGAATCTATAGCCCTTTAATGTTTGCGAAAGTTTTGTTTCATTATTGAAGCCATGTATATGGCCAGTGGTACCTCCATTCCCTAAATCCGGCCGACCATTACAGGCTTTTGCACAAGGCTAGTCACAGAGGATTCCTAGGCATGTTAGGCGGTCTTTGATTGCATGCATTGGGAATGGAAGAACTGTTCCACTGCTTGTTCAGGCCAGTTTACCAGCTACAAGCATAAGCCAACTGTCGTTCTAGAAGCAGTGGCCTCGTATGACACTTGGATATGGCATGCCTTTTTTGGAGTCGCCGGATCGAACAACGATATCAACGTCCTAGCTTGTTCCCCGTTGTTCAATGATATAGTCAATGGAGTGTCTCCTCATATCCAATATGTTGTCAGTGGAAATGAATACAATCTGGGTTATTACTTGGTTGATGATATCTACTCTCATTGGGCTACATTGGTTAAGATGATTTCCCAACCGTAAAATCCCAAAAAAAAAGACTATTCGCCCAAAAACAATAGGCTTATAGGAAGGATGTTGAGCCTGATATAGTGCTAATGGGCTAGGGCAGCTGGCTCAAGGCGGACTTTATGAAAATCCTTGTCCTTTTCTTTTTAAGGCTTATTTATTGTTTCACCCTTTGGAACAGACACACGGTCTTACTTTAAACTATCAAACTAAAATTTTCTCATTTAACCACATGAATCTCTAAAAATTGCTGAAATTTTCTCACTGTACCACTTTCATTTATTTCCATCCACAAAACCGTTAAATGTGATGACATGGCATGGACATTCTAGTAATTTTAGTTCCTTATCTTCCCTATTCTCTCTCTCCTCTCTCCTCTTGGACCCAACCTCTATCGCACCCCACCCCCACCCCTACCCCTCTCATTTCTCCTATCTTCTTTCCCCTCCCCTCGCCAAACCCAATCCCCACCCCAAACCTAACCTCCATGGAATTACTCATCAACACACCTAAACCACCACCACTCAAATTTTTTTTTAAATCTCCTCGACGGCCACTCCCTATATTTCTTTCTTAACAGAGATAATGAGAGAGAGAGAGAGAGAGAGAGAGAGAGAGAGAGGCACGAAGAAGAGATAAGAGATAAGAGGGGAAGGGGTGGGGTGCGAATGGGGTTAGGTGGGGAAGGGGAGAGAGGCAGAGAGGAGATAAAATAGATAGCTAAAACTACTAGAATGCTCGTGCCATGTCAGCACCCTTAACGGTTTTGTGGACGGAAATAGACAAAAGTGGTAAAGTGAGAAAATTTTAGCAACTTTTAGAGATTCTAGGGGTTAAGTGAGAAAATTTCAGTTCAAGGGGGTAAAGTAAGACTAAATGTCCGTTTTAGAGGGTGAAACAATAAATAAGTATTTTTTTTAAATATAACAAAATAATCAACCATTTAATTAATCACTATTGCAAATTCATCATGAAAATTAGCCAAGGAGGACCAAAACTACAAATTTGTTGAAATTACAAGCATAAGAATTAAAGTGGAGGAGTCCAAAGTAAAGACTACTCTACACCAAGAAACAAAAAAATAAATGTAACTCCACCAAAATTGATAGGGCCTCACGAACCTTAGACACAACAAATTTCCAATGCTGAATCATAATTTCGGCATAGTCAAATCCCAAGATTATCAAATCTTGAGAGTGATTATCACTTGAATTCATATATTAAAGTCAAAAAATGGTTATCCAAGACAAGACAGCTAATGGAAAGGTCATCAAACAAGTTTGAAAATCTGCAATCAAATTTGATTAAATTCAACTTGCTGACACAACACCTGGTCCCAACACCAAAAAGCAAAAACAATAACAATAACAAATAAAAAATCTATAGAAAGAAGATGTATATTTGCTCCTGCTTATTCATAAGCTGATTAATCTTTATCATGTTAAAAAAGTGATAAGCAACAAGCAACATGTTGCAATAGGAAAGAGCCGTGACTGAATTTCATAGCAGCAGCTACTTTTCACATTCACTTATTACAAAAGCGAATCTGGACTTCAAGTCTAACCCTATACACAGCTAGGGTTTAGCTTTGAAAATTATGTATGAAAATGACTGGTTGAATGCGATCAAAGAAAAAAAATATAGAAAATTTGCAGCTTTAAGCATGACATTGACTTTAAGTTGTCTCCTTGGACACAAGCCACCCACCACCATGGATCCACTTGAGCACTTGTAATATTTAAAACATGTGTTTTGATCTGATAAAAATATCGCAACTTGCTAGATCTGGTATAGTTTACTTCAAAGTTTGTCAAATTCGTGTGGAGTTATGCACTGGATAAAGTAGGAAAAAGTTGCCAACTTTGAGTTCCACATTAGAATACATGGAATGTGTCGTATAAACGAATTTTATTTGGGTACCCATCATGATCCGCTCTATTAAAATATAAGCTCTCTATTTAAATACAAGGTTTTAAGATGACATATACGTATGTGACTTCTCCATCTACTCGGGGTTAAAAAGCCCTACAAGACTATCGTGTATCAAAGAGATTTGAACTTATTATTTCAATTATAAGAAAAGAAATATTGTTAGATTAATAACTAGTTGGTGTATAAGACGATGATGAAAGAAATTAAAATACTTCAATATGATAAGAAAGAACTGGTATTAAGGTTTTGAGCACTTCAAAATTTCATGTAAGGTACGAGGAAAAACCCCATGTTAATTTCTTACTTTAATTTTATTATGATGTTTAGAAAAATCAAAGAAATTGATAAGGTAACTTACAGGTGTACCCAAAACCAATTCAAACAAGCATTGGTTCTTAAATACAGAAATACTTTGAAATTGCTTGACGTATAAGTTATATCTTATAAATCATGTAAAACAAGTTTATTAATGCCTCAAATCACACGTATTAACTAATTACTTGCTCTAATGATACTTCTTTTCTCAGTGTTATAGAAGAAGTTTCAAAGTTGAATCCCACGACCCGAACCAAAGTCCTGTAACACCTGGCATTAACATGCCAGTACCTTGACTAGAATTTAAGCTGTTTTTAGGTGACTAATTTTTCTTGATAATCTATTGATGCATGCATCCTCTCAAGAATTAATGAAGATTAATCCGGGTGTTTAAAAATCAGATTACTTTTTCCCCCTCTTTATTTAGAACTTTCTGGTGTGGCCCTCAAACCAGAATGTCCATGTACTCTGAACTAAGAGCGTCCACTACACTTTTAAGCTTGAGTGGGCCGGCTGCTTCTAGCTCTTAGCACCAAATGAACTCCTGGTCATATTTGGCAATTTTTAGCATAGAAATTTATTTATCCACTACACCCAATAATTCTATTCTAATAAATAATATAATATAATAATTTAAAACAGAACATAATTGGAGAAAAAAATGTATTTGTTCAGGCCAAATCTACTGGCTGCAAAATGAAGTCCACATGACCCAAAAAATTCCTCATTGTTCACTCCAATTATCTTCTCTCTTTTTTTAATCCAAGATGGTGACATTTTTAATTAATTTTGTCCTATTTTCCCCTTATTCAACCCCATTTTCATTCTCATTTGTTGATATTAGGATCGGTCGTCCATCCTTTAAAATTCGGGATAAGTCCAAAATTAAGAAACAAAAGTTAGATTTAATCTTTGCATTTATTGTCATTCATATAAATCCTCTGACTTTTCTGCCAAAATAGAATTACATTCCTTTTTTGTATTTTCTAATGTAGATCTATTTTTTTTTTAATAAAAAAAAATTAACTGTTTACTTCAATTAATGTCTCACAAATATCTTACCATACTTTTATCACTACCATCTCCATGGCCAAAACCTTTTAAAAAAACTTTGCTATTACCTAGAATAAAAATATCGGCCATGTAGATAATATCAGTCCTTAAATTTACAGATATATCGACCCGTATTTTGATATTAATCGTGACTACCAATTTGTCCAGGGTTAGTACATGGCTAGGTTAATTAGAGTTTATTTTGGTTAGATTTAATTTAATTAGGGACTTAAAACACTTAACGTAACGGGTGGGGGGGGGGGGGGGGGGGGGTGGGGGGTGTGGGTGGGTGCATTCTTACTTGTTCTTCCTCTTCTTTATTTTGGATCAATATTAATGAAAATTAAGTATGGGTTCCTCTGTTGAGGAATCCCTCAAATAACTTATTTGAGGGACACCCTTGTAGGAAGCACTCCGTATTGTATTTCACTAATCCAAATGTCTATTTTGTAGATACTCATTCAAAGATCATCTCTACAAAAAAATCACTTGAATTTGATATCATTTGACCACTCAATTGAATTATTGAAATTTTAGTACTTTCTTAAAGCACTGTGTTCATTAGTTTTATAGGATACAATTGGATATTAAAACGGTTTCTGATTTGTCTAAATTTTTGTAAGGATGATCTATGAATGTAGAATTAAAAAATAGATGGTTTTCAATTGTTGAAAATATATTTGTAGGGAACCCTGAAGGGTGTCTCTCAAATAAAATTATTTAAAGAATCTTTCAATAGAAGGAGACTATATATATATATATTATATAAAAAATAGGGGTTCATTGGAAGATATTTTCATAATTGGCTACTCTCCATTTTCCTTTAAGTCGGGCCTTACATATGTTTTACGGTCAAATTAAGTCCTCAAAGGAAGCCGAAAAGAAGTGGACAATCACGCATAATATCATATATGTTTGTTGGCCCATCAAACTCACAAAAAGAAACCACATACAAAAAAACAAAATGGAACACCCAAAATTTGGTGAAAAACAGTCGTGCAGAAAATTTACAATTCATAAAAACAGTACAGGCATGTTTCAAACACGTCGATATCAAAGACAGCCTCACGTGAAAATGATGTGTTGTGTGTTGTGTTGTGCTGTGATGAGGAGGATGACTGTATCCAACAATGTCACGCTTCTTTTTACCCTAAAGCTTGAGCCCGTCCTTTCTATTTTGTCCAGTCCAATCCAATCCATTTCCATGTTTCCTTCCTGTACATTTCCTTTCACCTACTTGGTCGACCAATTTTCCTGAGAACAGCTGGGCCTCTTTGTCTTAGTTTCCACGTACCTTTCCACATGTAATCCTAGCCGTTCATGTAATCTTGCCATCCTCTATATATATCCCCCCACTCCTACTTCCTCCCCACCTTCCAACAAACACTTCATCTTTTTGTTCCTCCATTCTCTCTCTCTCTCTCTTTCTCTCTCTCTCTCTCTCTCATCGTTTTGCTCCTTCAAGGTTTAGCCAAATACATGGCAATGGCCTGCTTAAATGTTTCCAAAGTCGACCAGGTTAGTGAATATATACCATATTATATATATATATATATATATGCTACCTTCCATATCTCTGTGTGGTGCATGCAGCAGTTGTGTGTGTGAAAACACGTGTATATAAAGATCAAAGATCTTAATTTATATATGTGATGTTATGTATACCCCAAAAACAAAAACAAAAATCTTAATTCATATATAATACTTGTGTGAGATAGCTGTAATGTAAAACGAAAGTGCACTGACGACAAAGATATCACGGAAAAAACAATTTTTATGTATCTTGTCATCCTCTATATATATAGCCCCCTCACTCCTACTTCCTCCCTACCTTCGAACAAATCTTCTTGTTCCACCACCACCACCACCACCCCCCTCTCTCTTTTTGCTCCTCCTTTTGGTTATGGCATGCTTAAATGTTTGCAAAGATGACCAGGTTAGTGAATATTACCGTATTTGATGATTTCTGACGAGTGATGTTACATGTATCACGAAATTGATGACTAACATGTATATTAATTGAGGCCTGGACATCGTATATACGGCAACTCGTTGCGATGTCCTGACCACCGGACGAAAGGGACCAAAAAGCCATTCTTCTCCGAGAATAGAAGCGGTTCGTTATATACGGCAACTCGTTGAAGTTTTGCATGCTTCTATGATCAGCGGGTAGTGAAAGATATTCTAGGAGTGAGAGGGCAGATGGTTCCAAAAAAAGAATAAAGATCTTAATTATATATAATACTTCTGTAAGATTCACTTGGTAAGATATTTGGAGTACTAGTGTAAAACGAAAGTGCACTCATGACTAAGATATCACTGAATTCAAATTGTATTGGAAGACTAAATGACACGGTGCATTATTCATGAGTGCTAAGATACAGATATTACCTTTTCCTTTTCCAAATTGGTATATTAATTACCTTTTGTTGATGTTTTGAGGCATGAATAATTTGCTAACAACTATGAAATAATTGAAATTCTATGTGATAATTTAACAATAAAACATGTCAAATTGTAACACCATCGGAATTTGGTCATCGGGGATTTTAGCGGGGTGCGTATCAAAATCATTGATTTGAACATAAATAAATATTGCATTTAGATGGATAATTTATAGCGCTAACTTATCGTCACAAATTCAAAATTTCAGGAATATGTTGAGGAAAAGAACCAAAAGATCAAAGAAGTTTGTACCCTAGATGGAACCACTGATTGGTACGGTCGCCCTGCAGTCCGAGGGCGAACTGGAACATGGGTTGCTGCAACTCTCATATTAGGTATTTAACCCTATCCTTAACTATACTAATTAGCAACACAATTAGTTTAACTATCTATTTTGCTTTATCTTGTTCGGAGTTAGGTGTTTGGATGAAAGACGATCATGTTTGGTTGTCTTCCATTTTAAACGATGATGTAATATTTTCTTAATTAATACAATTTATGAGGTTCCTATAAAATAAAATTGAACTTCATGTATTTCTGAAGTAATTTTATTTTCTGATTAGTTGGACCACCAAAATCATGTGATACTTTTTTGAGGTCTTTCCTCTTTTCCTTTCTAATGATGTGATACTTATGATTTATCATAGATGACTTTAGCTAAAATCAAATCAACAACAGCTGGTTTTTTTGACTTCTAAGCACAACTAGTCTGCCCAAATGGTCCAAGGAGAAGGGTAGGGGATGGAGAAATTTATGTGTTATGATCACACCGCCACGTGTTCTCTTGTCAACGGAGTACAATGTCATATATCGTTCTTCTTCTATATGTGGCCAGCATATTATTATGTGACCATAGCCTGTTCTCCATTATTAATCAATAAGTGCTTATAATCACCATTTTTTAAAAAGCACACAAATTGATTTATGTCTAATCATCTACTAATTATGATCAACCACCCTAAACAATTGGTTAATTATTGCGTATCAGAATCATCCTTTTTTTTTTTTTTTTTTTTTTTTTTTTTTTTTTTTTTTATTTAATTTATTTAAAATTTCGTAATCTGATCATCAGTGAATCAAGGGCTGGCAACGCTGGCATTCTTCGGAGTAGGAGTGAACTTGGTGTTGATGTTGACGAGGGTGCTGGGCCAAGACAACGCAGAGGCTGCAAATAATGTCAGCAAATGGACTGGAACTGTTTACCTCTTCTCTCTTCTTGGCGCTTTCCTCAGTGATTCCTACTGGGGGAGGTACAAGACTTGCGCTGTCTTTCAACTTATTTTTGTCATTGTAAGTTATTTGCTATACTTGCCATTCAAAAATACTATACATCATATTTTTCTGATTTTTATTAAAAATTAACATGCTTCACAAAAAAAACACTTGGAAGTGATTTTGGGTGCGCCAGAATCACTTACGGAGAGAATCATTTCCCACGTGCTTCTTCATATAATTACTTTAAGTGATTTTAAGCAATTATGGGGAGAATCACCTCCAATGTGTTTATCCATAAATTTACTTAAAACCACTTAACATGATTACATGGAGAAGTGATTCTTCATAGAAGCGATTATTGGTCTATCCAGAATCACACTCCTCAAAACTTTTATGATCCAGAAGTATTTTCAAAATTTTCTGCCTAATACTATATAGTGCTTTTAGCCTTTTAAAATGCCGTGCCCAACAAGCCCTCAATCTCAAATATTTGTATGGAATACATTTATTCTCTGTGAATAATGAGGATCACATGGTTTATTGAAAAATAATAATAATAAAGATTGGTGTGACCACCTCTTTTCTCTTCTTGGCGCTTTCCTCAGTGACTCCAACTGGGGGAGGTACAAGACTTTGTCTTTCATTATGTACATCATATGATTATATTTTTCTGTTTTATGGCCAGTTACTCCTTGTAACTTTTATGATCCAAAAGTACTTTTAATTTTTTCCGCCAAATACTATATAGTGCTTTTAGCCTTTTAAGATGCCCTGCCGAACAAGCCCTCAATCTCAAATATTTGTATGGAATATTTTTATTTTCTGTGAATAATAGGGATCACATGGTTTATTGAATAATAATAATAATAATAATAATAAAGATTGGTGTGACTACCTCCTCTCTTTTTGGCGCTTTCCTCAGTCACTCACTGACTCCTACTGGGGGAGGTACAAGACTTGTGCTGTCTTTCATTATGTACATCATATGATCATATTTTTCTGTTTTACGGCAAGTTTGGAATTTGCTTTTGTAGGACCCACTTTTGCTTATAAATGCTTTTATTGGAATTGCTTTTATTTGAAGAACGTAAATTTTTTTATAAAAAATCAAAGTGCTTTTCTGAAAAAACACTTGAAAGATGAGGATTATTCTAAAACTAAGCACCACATTTTTAACAAGATTAACTACATCTTTCACGAAGATGAGATTCACTTGCATATAAGTAGTAGAAATAATTTATACCTTGGCGGAGCCACTCCTAGGCCTGGAGTGGCCCTGGCCGCACATATTTTTATCTCTATTCTATTATATTATATATAACATATAAAATTTGTAATAAATTACTTATAATTTAAGTTATAGTTCCCTCTCAAACAAATTAAACATGACTAAATTATAAATATTTAGCTCTAAACATGTAATTATTGAATACTTAGGTGTTTTATATACTTGTATATATTTTCTACTTTGGCCCCCTTAACTTTACAATTCTAGCTCCGCTCTGCCCTTGTGATTAAAAAATAAATAAAATTCAACTCTATAGATTGTCTTCTCTTTCCTCTTCTTTAGGTATATTGTGTTCAACATTATCTATATTTTTCTTGCAAGTATATACTCATGTAAATTTGTTTGTTTGTTTGTTCTTTTTTTTCCCACAGGGTTTGTCGATGTTATCACTATCGACCTACATATTCTTACTCAAGCCTAAAGGCTGCGGTGATAAAAATACTCCATGTGGAGATCACTCAGCCTTTGTAATCGGATTGTTCTACATCTCTATATACCTTATTGCCCTAGGAAATGGAGGCTACCAACCTAACATAGCTACATTTGGGGCGGACCAATTTGATGACCAAGGGGACCCCAAAGAAGGGCAGTCAAAGATAGCCTTCTTTAGCTACTTCTACTTGGCTTTAAATCTTGGCTCTCTCTTTTCAAACACAATCTTGGGCTACTTTGAGGATAAAGGAATGTGGACTCTAGGGTTTTGGGCATCCACTGGCTCTGCTGCCATTGCATTGGTCCTGTTTCTTTGTGGTACTCCAAGGTACAGGCATTTCAAGCCTCAGGGCAACCCTCTCTCTAGGTTTTGCCGGGTGATGGTTGCTGCAACAAGAAAATGGAAGGTTGAGATGATGCCAAGTGGGGAGGATTTGTACGAGGAAGATGGGAAGGAATGCTCTCAAAATGATAGGAACATAGTTCACACCCATGGATTCAAGTAAGTTCATATGCTTTTCTAGAATTTTTTATTTTTAGGAACAAATTATATTTTTAATAGATAACATCAATAGTCACACGAATGTGTGCCGGACTGACTTTTGTATGAAACACTTTTTATGCTTATAAAACTGTTTTAAAAAAAACCAAAAACCAAAAACAAAAAAAAAAATACACAAACCAAAAAAAATCCAAATGTAGGTCTCTTAATTCAGTAATTTTAATAAGTGCTAAACAAAATCCATATGTTTTGATTATTTTCACCAGATTCTTGGATAGAGCAGCAGTCATCACATCAAAGGAGATGAACGAAATGGACAAGGGAGCTCACAATCCATGGCGCCTCTGCACAGTGACACAAGTAGAAGAAGTGAAATGCATACTGAGACTCCTCCCAATTTGGTTGTGCACAATACTTTACTCTGTAGTTTTCACTCAAATGGCATCACTCTTTGTAGAACAAGGTGCCTCAATGAAGACCACCGTTTCAGGGTTCCACATTCCCCCAGCCAGCATGTCAAGCTTCGACATTCTCAGCGTAGCGGCTTTTATCTTCATCTGCAGGCGGTTTCTCGATCCGCTTTTTGGCAGGCTTAGAAAGAAAAAACTCACTGAGCTTCAAAGGATGGGGATTGGTCTTGTCATTGCAATCATGGCAATGGTTTCAGCTGGAGTTGTGGAGGTGTTCAGGTTAAAATATGCAGTCAAAGAATGCAACAATTGTGAAAATCCAAGCTCATTGAGCATATTTTGGCAAGTTCCTCAGTTTGTGCTTGTAGGAGCATCAGAAGTGTTCATGTATGTTGGTCAATTGGAGTTCTTCAATGGACAAGCACCTGATGGGTTGAAGAGCTTTGGGAGTGCACTTTGCATGACTTCAATATCACTTGGGAACTATGTGAGTAGCTTGCTTGTTACAATTGTGATGAAAGTTTCTACTAGAGATGAAATGCCAGGATGGATCCCTGGAAACCTAAACAAGGGTCATTTGGATAGATTCTACTTTCTCTTGGCAGCTTTGACAACGGCTGATCTTTTGGTGTATATATTATGTGCCAAGTGGTACAAGTATATCAAGTTTGAAGCAAAGGGTGGAAATGACAATGGCGTGCACAATATTGGGCAACCTGAACTTGGAGTCTGATAATTTGATTTGGTTTCATCAATTTTCGCTCGGGTTTGGTGGAATGATGCTACGTCGGGTAATAAATAGAGGGTCTGAGAAGAGGTAAAGATTATTGTATGTGCCGGTTATATCTTTTTGACAAAATGCATTGTCGTCTTAGTGTGGAGTCGGTCTCATGATGTTGTGAGAGAGATCATACATAGGCGGGTGAATTCTTAGGGACATGGTTCTAGTAGAGTTGCAATGATACTGGAGAAATGCCTTTTTCATTTCTCCATGTTGAGCACAAGGTGTTTTAAACAATAATATGTAAAATATAATGTAATCTTTCTCATATATATATATATACAATGTACCCTACTATGTGTAATACAATGTCTTTCCTTACTTGAAGTTTGCATGTGGTACACTTGGTCTTCCTTATTTATTTTTCTATTTAAACAAAAAGTGGTGCTATTCCCACCCTCATTCTTATTTTCCAACCACTTCTTTTATAAAAATTGAATTAGAATTTCGTCATGTTATAAAATTACCTAAATAGACATTCCTCTATTTGGATGAGGAAAAATAACTCAGAATTTAGCTAAAAGTTTGGAATTTAAGAGGAGAAATTGACAATTCATTTGTTTGGCAACTTAAGCACAAAATTTATTAAATGACGGCGGAAAAAGTCCTGGAAATTGGGGCATCAAATTCCCGAGTTTAATTTCCACCAAAATAGGCGTCATTTCACAATTTCCATAGTGTCATTTACAAAATTCGACATACATAAATCCAAATGCTGAAATCTTCAATTGCTAGAAATTGAAATGATGGAAATCTAAATTCCATCATTTTAAAATTCTATGTAATTTTCAATTCCTTCATCCAAACAAAGGGATGGTAGAAAATTACTAGCAATCCATCTAACAGCCCTGCCCTCTCAAGTGTGTAGGTTGTACGACTGCATAGGGCCCCAAGCAAAAGGCCTCCAAAGGAAGATATAAGCCAACAATTAACGAGTCTGTATAAGCTGAGCTAGAAGTATAGGTGAACAAAAAATTAAAAAATGCACGGAAGGGTTTTGAACTTAGAAACCAAAGAACATAATAACATCAACAAATTATGAACCCAAACCATATTTGGAGAATTCTAAACCCCAACATGTAAGATGGTTTTAGGTCAAAAACCACCTCTATAACATGGTTTATAGAGAGAAGTTTAAAAAACTCAACTTCAATCGCAATTTTGAATTAGGCCAATTAGGCCATCTCCAACCATGTTGGGGTTAAACTCAAATTTCCACCCTCCAAAATACAACTATTCATGTATTTTCAAGACTCAAATTTTTTTTTCCTCCAACCTTGCAGACTTATAATTTGAGTCCGCAACTTTATTAAATTGTTTAAGAATGATTAACCCATAATTTTTTTTTCTTGTTAATTTTTCTTAACATTATTTTTATTTCAACACTCGTGATTTAATTTTCTAAACATTTTAACCTAACAAAATTAAAATTCCAAAACATAATAGAATTTCACTTTTAAAAAAAAACGGCAAATTAGATTTGTTTTGAAAATGAAAATATAGCATTGCCCAACAAGATTGAAATGTGTGCCAGCTTTATTTGCATGCCCAAACAGAAATGTCAGCGGGCCCAGCAATGTTGGTAAGCACATGGGCTTCCAGCCAAGAAAAAAAGAATAAAAAACAGATTTTGAGCCCACAAAAAATATGAGTCCAGGCAATATTGGGATTGGAATTCCACCCCAAATTTGAGATTTCTCAAATTTCCACCCCCTAAAATACATGGGTTGGAGAAGTTTTTTGGACTCAAAACTCAAAATTGAAATTTCCACCCCTTGGGTTGGAGATGGTCTTAATGTGTCTACTTTCTTGCATTCGAGTTCAAATTCCCATTCTTCTAAATTAGAGTAATGCATCGTATGGATGGTGTTGAAGCTTTGAGATGATAGTGGTCCGTGACCCGAGTCGTCTCACCTTGGATCTAGTTTTTGGGCCCCCTGAAGGTTGCTAAATGATCTAGGGGTGGTTGCGGTTCGGTAACTGCGAATTTTTGCCCAAACTGCAAACTGATCGACTATTTGGGGTATGGTGATTTTTGAAACCGCAAACTGACCGCTTTTTGCAGTTTACCGCAATGCGGTCGGTTATCGCGAATTAGCGGTTTAAAATCGCAAGTTCTCAAGCATTCACAAAAATATAAATTCACAACCTAAATAAATAAATACACAATCTCAACTTCTCAAGCATATATAAATTCACAATTTCCTTAACTTCTTAAGCATTCACAACCTAAAGAAAATTAAAGTTACAATTCCAAGCATTCCAATTAAAGTTAAACTTCTCAAGCATTCCAATTCCAAATCCTTTAAAGTTACAAACCAAAAGGAAAATGTAAAGCAAAATGAATTAAAGTTACAACTAAAAAGAAAAATCCAATTCAAAGTTAATTAAAGTTACAAACTAAAAGAAAAATGCAATCCACCAATGTTACAAACTAAAGTTACAAACTCAAGTGTTGGTGGTGAGTGGATTTGAAGAACCCCGTTGTGTTGTTTGAGCACCAATGTTATCTACAAATAGAACAACATAGTTTAGTACATTTAATTATAAGAAGATCAAATAAAACAACATAGATGGACTATACTTTGCGGTTTGCGGTAACCGCAAGTTTTGAAAATCAAATACCGCAACCACAACCGCAAATGCGATTCGGTTCTTCATACCGCAAATGCGGTTCGGTTTACCGCGATCGCGGTTTCATTGCGGTAAATAGTCGGTTGGTTTTTGCGGTTTTTCGGTCTAAAATACCACCCCTAGCTAAATCTACCTGAAGTGGACTAAAGACTGATCTGCTAGCTCTGGGCCAAATGAACCGGCCCGTGCCCCAAACCCATATGGTCCGCGCCAAGCTCGCTCTGCTGTTGTATATTCCCACCGTTGAGCTCTATGGCAATGGCAGAACCTCTACGATGCTTTGCTACCAGTCATCCAACCAATAAAAATCATCAAGGTAAGAACTGCTTCAACATTTTTTAGATTTGAACTCAACACATGTTTAATTTTTCATCTTCTTTGATTCCCTCTTGAATTTTTCAGCTAAAACTAATTTCTTTGATGAATTTCAGAGATTTTGATTTCTGGCTCTTTTTAGAACTCCATGTTGGAAATAGTGCATATGTGAATTAACAAATACAAAGCAAAGGAAACCAACCCATTTCATTGCCACACAGAGAGAGGCAGAATGGGGACGAGAGCAAGACTGCCAAACCTCATTCGGAGCCTCCAAAAGGAAGCCCAGCCAAAACCCACATGCCAACAATCGCTGCCTTCGCTTAGACGCGCCTTCTCTCTCTACGATCAGATCAATCTCATTGACAACGTCCCTAATGACCAGCTTCGATTTCAACGGTATTCTCCTGCTGTGTCTTCTTTCTTTGGTTTTTGGCTCTTCCACAACTACCACTAATTACCATTTTGCCACTCTCTGTGTGAAGGTACACGGACTCAGGGTTCACAGTGAATGGGGTGGACTATGAAGGAAGCTTGCTTTGTGTTGGAAACATGTTGATGTCTTGGGCTCCCAAGAAATTCTCTGAAATCACTCCTGATAGGTGTTTACTCTATCATTCTTTCTTGCTCTTGTTTGTTCTTAGTAAAAATATTTACTTAAAGAATAATATTTAGAACATGTGAAGGATATGGCTCAAGGTTGTTATTAGCATTTCAATTTTAATTTTCTTTCTTTTATTGAGAAAATTGCACCCCAAAAAATCGAAGTGGATGTTTAAATTATTGTTCTAGTTTTCCATCCATACATGATACATGTATATATGCATCTGTGTACATTTATGTATGAATGCATGAAATTGTTTTAGTTACTAGAACTGTGGAACATGTTAATTGTGAGGCAGAAGTAACTGACAATTTAATGGATTTTATTCTGTGATTCAGCCTGTCCATCTTCCAAACCGTGCGACCTGTGCCAGGTAAATTTCAAATTGCATTTGAATCCTGTTATGCTTCATATGTACCTTGTTTTAGGTTGTCCCCCGCAGATTATTTTGAATAGACATATAGACAATTTAGAGGGGCAAATTTCCTTTCTACAAGTAGCTTAAATGTTTCAATTTAAGATATCATCTCAGTTTTCTTATATTCAATCCTGGATTGTGGTTTTTAGCTTTGTTTTCCAATTTTGTTTAACATCATTCGACTCTAAGGAGTCTGATCTTTTCTGTCTGTATTTGGTAAGGAGGATTGCTTATCCTTCTTTTTATCAATACAATGTTTCTATTAAAAAAAAATTGTTTAAAAATCCTAGGGAACCCAGCTAATAATCATATACGGATCATTAGGAAAACATTTATTCAGTACAAGGTCATGACTCATAAGTACATTCTGCGTAAGTACGAAGTCATAAGTGCAGAAACTAGCTTTCTCATTCATTTGAGTTGTTCGGCTTTATTCCCAATATATTGGGCAGATATCCAGTTTAAAAGAAAATGTGATTTTTGATACATCTTTGATCATGCTTCATACTGTGCTACTAGTCTATGTGACATGCTTTAGAGCTCCTTCATGCATACTTCTAAGTTCAGCTCCTTTCTCATCTGCAAAAACAAAACACTTTAAGGAGAGAGGAAGGTAGGATGCCTTACCGTTCTGGTCTCCCTTTTGAGAAATATAATTGGTGTGTAGATGCGAAGATGAAGGTGAAGGGATGTTAGGAAACTAATTGAGAAGATGATGGGAAAACAAATTTAACGAAATAACATTTTAGAAACTGGAAACACAAATGGTGTAGTTTTGTGAAGTCTTATCATATATGAGGATAATGGTAATGACCTGGTGAAAGCAGAGACAGTAGCACATCCCTACTATCCTCCTTTCTCCATATCACTTCACAAATGCAGAAATGAATGACTGGTCTTGATCTAGTTGTTCTGTAAAAAATTCGACCCAAAAAAAAAGTTGTACTGTAAATTTGTGTCCCCAAGTAAATAATGACTAATGACAACACGTGTGTTAATAGCTTTTAGATCGCATCACAATCACTGGAAATATGATAACTGGGTTTACTCTTTATTCTGAAATTTAGCTTCTTTCAGCTACAGTTTAAATGATAAGTTCTGTTGTAGCAGTATTGACCGCTTCTTTTGAAATTTCAGAGATTTTGATTCTTGGCTGTGGGAGGTACATTGAACCTGTAAGTCCTGAACTACAACGCTTCATCCGGTCTACTGGAATGAAATTAGAAGCCATTGACTCGGTATACTTCGTTGTTACTTTTTTTTCTTTTCTCTGACTTCATTATTTCTTGCATTATGCTTGTCATGGTCATGTAGTGTTTGGATTCATCTGACAAATAAATGACCAACATAGTTTTCTAAGCAAAGCCGATATCACCTCAAATGTTGTAGTAACTATGTTGTGTCCACCTTGTCCATGACCACAACCAAATACTACAGCCTCCACAAGCGTCTTGCTTCCTGAAATATACGGGTGCTTATAATTCACTCTCTGTAATAACTTTTTTATTTGCATTAAACTTAGGTGGTGCTCCAGTTGGAATGGGCTTTGGTATCAATGGTGATTCTACTACCAAATTCATAATACTTTTCTTCCTTTGTTTCAGAAAAATGCTGTATCAACCTACAATATACTCAACGAGGAAGGGAGGATTGTGGCTGCTGCGCTTTTACCGTATGGGATTTTGTCATGATTGCTGGACTAACCGCAGGATGCTTGCTCACTGCATCCTTTTAGTGACCATCAATCTCTTGACCACAAGGTGCATTGAGCCTAAAGTAAATGCCTCCATTGATTTGGAAGCAGTCTGTCTGTCGCATGTGTAACTGTGAAGCGTTTTTCTACTTTTCCTCTTAAATTTATCAAGAAGAAGTAACAAATTTTGAAGAGCCAACTTCGATGCTACTTTCGGAGTTATTTTTCCTTCAACATATGTGCGTTGCATCCCTCATCATACTACTATACAAATCTATAGAATAACGATATTTATTTATTTAAATTTGAAAGTTTCATCTTTTATAACTTAAAAATCCTAAGCTAGATTGATTGATAAATTGGGTAAACGTAACTGAATTCAAACTTCCTTACCTTTCAACTTACACAACTTAGACAACTTAACTCCCTAATGTAATTGCCAATAGTATCTAGCCGAGTTGAAAAGAGTCTTGACTTGCAGACCAGTAGTTTCAGGTTCAAATTCCTATGAACATTGATAGTATGTGTGTGAGACTTGGTGTGAAGCCTAAGGAGGAAAAATGAATGTGGTAAATGAACAGGAAGCTCCTAAGAACCCCAACGATCAAATGGGAGTTTTTAAGAACTCACTCCCCAGTCACACTCTGGTCTCAACGTGCTGGGCCGAGGAAGCGTTCTCATAGATATGCCACATTGTTCACTTGATGTTCTAAGCTAAATTGTACAAATTATCCATGTGAGCCATATGTCACTATTGCTCATGTGATGGAAAAAAACTCTCAACAATCCTCGTTGATTTAAGTTTTCACTACAGTTCAGTCAACAAAAAAAAAAAAAAAAAAAAAAAAAAAAAAAATGTGAATACAAAACAACAAATAACTACAGGGTGTAGACAAGGTGCCTATAAATGTGGTCTTTCCTAATCTTTTTGGGTATAAAAGGAAATTAACTAAAAAAGAAATATTAAAGATGGAATTTTGTCATAATCCGTACGAAATGTTAATGGTGCCAACTAACGCCGTTTCTTCTACCACCTGAACTACATCCCGCGCCACTGGAAACAGCTGAGAAATACCAAACTCTCCACCACCAGTCTCCGCCAATTATGAACTCTCTAAACCTTCAATAAAATCCCAAACCTCCAAAACCCTAAACCCTCATTCAGACTCCTCCTCTCTCTCTCTCTCTCTCTCTCTCTCTCTCTCTCTCTCTAGAACTGATTGCTACTCTCAAAGAAATGACTTCGCTGCTTCACTCAGCTTCGCCATCCTCTCTCGCTTCTCGCGAATCTCTACGCACTCGCACTTTTCTCCCTAACCGGTCATGCTCTCGAATCGCAGCCCCAAACGGCGTGGTAAGCCACTACAAAGCTTTCTTTTCTTTCTTGTCTTCTTTCTTTTTCCAGGATAAGCTTTCATTTCATTTCTTTCATTATATTATTTTCTATGTCTAGAATTCTTTTCTTTATTTCGAATAATTAGTTTCAATTTGAGCGTTCGAGTCTGAAAATAGGAGTTTTTCCCTCTTTATCAGTTCAATTTTTTTGTCAATATGATTAAAATTTGTTTATTCTGAATAATGTATTGTAGAGGTGTAATGTGGGAGAGCCTTTGAAATATGCAAATGGTAAGCCATCCACTCCACTCTTGAAGACTGAAGAAATGGCGCCCAACTTTTTGGCCACGGAAAAGCATTTGGTGAATGCAACTACCAAGAACGATACCAGACTCAGGATATTTTCCGGCACTGCAAACCCTGCGCTTTCTCAGGTATTCATTTAAACAAATTTACCATTTATGTTTATTAATATTTTTTTTCATATGGTGATTTGTTATTCAAAGTGGAGAAACTCTCTTGATCTTATCTTTTGCTCTTTGGCAGACCGGGAAAAGTTTTCCTGTCTTTCTTTGTTTTTTGAGAAAACATTTCCTGAGGTACAATCTAAAGAAATGCTCATATTTCCAAGGAATTTTTCCATTCAAACAAACATCAAATTGTTTTTTTATTTATTAATAATTTAAGAAACTTCTGCATGGAACTATTTTCAGCTACAACAAATGGAGCCATAATGTATTGTAAACATATAAATCCTTTGATTGCAGAATGTCTGATGTACTTTTGTGTTTTTGGTAGGAAATTGCTTGCAACATGGGTCTGGAACTTGGAAAGATTAAGATAAAACGCTTTGCTGATGGAGAGATATATGTTCAGTTGCAAGAAAGTGTGAGAGGGTGTGATGTATATCTTGTGCAACCCACATGCCCTCCTGCAAATGAAAACCTTATGGAGCTTCTGATAATGATTGATGCCTGTCGGAGGGCGTCAGCCAAGAATATTACTGCTGTGATTCCATATTTTGGATATGCCAGGGCTGATAGAAAGGTAACTTAATAATATTATATATTGAGCATAAAAAGATATGAGGTTCTGGGAATGATTGATGCATGTTGTCCTAGACTCCTAATACAAATTTGACTAAATTTCTTGATGAAGAGTTATTGCATTAAATATCATCCATCAGTCTCAAATAGTCTCCATTTGCTGGAGGTCATGAGTTTAAGTCTGATGGACTGCAATTGTTGAATAAAAAGAATTATCATAGATGAACTGGAATTAATTGTGTTTTTCCTATGGTAGATTGAGGAACTTCGTACAAATAAGTTGGTGTTGGAGTCTGGGCTTTAAAATTTTATTGTTGATAACATGAAACTTGTCCCTCAACTAATTGCTTGTAATTATCGTACCTTCATCAGGTTTAACTTCACTCCCCATAACATTTTTGGTCAATCATCTGTTGTGATTTATGATGTAGAGAATTAATTTATCTATGTGTATCTTAAGTTTGTAGATATACGAGGGAAACTTAAGATAGATTCCTTAAATCGGGTTTGTTTACATCCATTAAGAAATTTCAGCCCACTAGCATTAAGATTGAGACTGAATATAATTTATACGCGAATTATTTCAGGAAATAGGTTAGGCTATTACATAGGATCATGAATAGTCAGAAGTTTAGAGTCCTGAGTTAATAACATATGTGCAAATGCATTATGTGGCAAATCCCACAATGCTTAGCTGATTTAGTTGAAATTGGGATGTAAGGGTTGAACCAGTTTTAAGTTCAAGTTTGTTTTACTTATTATCTTGAATGGTGTTTGTTCCAGACTCAAGGGCGTGAATCTATTGCAGCCAAACTTGTTGCAAATTTGATTACAGAAGCAGGTGCAAATCGTGTTCTTGCATGTGATCTTCATTCTGGGCAGTCTATGGGATATTTTGATATTCCTGTGGATCATGTATATGGCCAGGTAATAGACCTGTAATAATTTGGTTTCTTTTGTTTCATTGTTCACAGACCAGGGTGTTGGACTCTTACAAGAATGCTATTTGGCCACCTGAAATGAAATAACGTTGAATTGACATGAAATTTAAAATTGGCTGAAAGCGATATTTCTATCTCAACATCTTTTAAGAAAGCAATGCTACAATTATATTAATAAGATTCTAAGTAGCATTAATTTTGGAGTTCTAATTTTTGGACATTTCCTCTTATGTATTCACCTTTTTTATATGTAATTTTCCTTTATGTATATCCAGCCTGTGATCCTTGATTACCTCGCCAGCAAGACTATATGCTCTGATGATTTGGTAGTGGTCTCACCAGATGTTGGGGGTGTTGCTAGAGCTCGTGCATTTGCAAAAAAATTATCTGACGCTCCCCTAGCCATTGTTGATAAAAGACGACATGGGCACAATGTGGCAGAGGTACGAACTATTCAGATGAAGTTATTACGGTTACCTCCTATAATTTTCTTGTTCTCACAATATCTTGAAGTGACACATGAAATTGTTGGAAAGATAAATCTTTGTGAAACCTCATCGTATATCAAGCTTAGATAAGCTGATGCAGACTACGAGGGACCAAGTTTATCTGATGATGTTGCACAAGAAATGAAAACTTAACAATTATATATTTTAAGGCCAGATGTGATCACAGATAAGCACACTTAAGTTACCAAATCATGATTTTGAAGTCTTGTAACAAGTGAAAAAGATGATTTTTCTCTGATTTTATTTGTTCTTTCTAGAGTCTGAAGTTAGATATTACAAGTGCAACGACTCTTTAAACTTTTTCATCATAACATATAAATGTCATAGGTAATAGTAATTGTTTCTTCATAATATGCATATTCTATAATTATTTGGAGTTTTAGATATTTGGTTCTTTTGTGACAATTTTTCTATAGATCTTTGCACGTTATCCCAACTAATGAAATCATCCTTCCTCCTTTCATCACTCTCCTACACAAGGATCTACAAATAGACATGAAATAGGTAGCCTGCTACTTAGTACCGATTGCATCCATTTTCCCTTTTCCTACTCGACATCAAATTATTAACATGAACATAAACAGGGAAAAGGAGATCCAGCTGGCTAGGCTTTCTAAATGCGCCAAAACTCCCTTTTGGTCTTCATTAATTTTTACTGAAGATTTAACTGATTTCAGTTTCAGGCACTCACCGATCAATGACTACCACCTGCTTCCAATTATTCTCGCAAACATTAATCAATGTTTTCTATCCAGCTCAAAAATAAATGTGAAAAGCTATTATAATAACTCAAAAATTAACTGAGCTAAATATCCATTGATCGACAACCTCCATCTCCTTCCAAAATCTTTTCTATCCAGCTCAAGATCTAGGAAATCCCAATCAATGGTTCTACGCTTTTCTGAAATCAATCTTAAAAACTACCCCTCCTTGTTTCTCAGTTGATACTCCTTGACCTTTTCATTTGCAACGTCACCCTATTTTATCTGAGATATCAATCTTTTTGTTAACTTAAGACCTCCTATTGTTGTTCTAACTGTTGTTTAGCTCTGAGTCAAGACATATCCATTGTCACTACTTCACCTTGAAAAATATGGTTACTTGATTGCATTTCTACCATCTCTACCCAGCCATTAAACTTCCTCCACCCCCTTGCAAGGTATTACAATTTTTCTCAGAACAATCCCTGTGCTCTGTTTCTCAGAAGTCTTGATGTTTAAGAATGACACACACACCCTTTCTTTCTGTTTTCTTTTCTTCTTCCATCATTCACCTATGCATAAGTTTTACTTTTTAAGTCTTTTTTTTTATAGTTCCATACGGAAACATATATTGCAACTCATTTCTATAACATGAACTACTTTGCAGGTGATGAATTTGATAGGTGACGTGAAGGGAAAAGTAGCAGTTATGGTGGATGACATGATTGACACAGCTGGTTAGTTTGTACATGCTCTAATATGTTTTATAACATAGAACATAAATAGTACCTTTGAAGAAAATTATATAAAATAACATAGAACATTAAATACTGATGTTGAGCCTAGCTCATGATGGTGAAGCTATATTCTGGAGAAATGATAATCAACGTAGTTAATTGAGAGAGGTGGATTTTAGTGCAAAAAGAAGGATCTTACCTATTGACACAAATGTCATGGGAAGGGAAGTCATCATTAGCATAGTGAAATTAGAAATAGGGGTTTCAAAAGAAAGGACAACTATGTCTCAACCTGTAAATAATAGTATAGCTCTTCCGTAGGTGTAAACAATTTTTCTTAACCCCAGGAAACAATTTTCCTTTTTGATGGAGAGACTTGATTCATGTGTACAGCCTTCAAATGCTTCTTGGAGGCTTGGAGAAGTGGGTTATTCCTCATTTGATAGTCTTTTAGGTGGGTTTAAGATGTAATTGTGCCAAAGCCTACACATGGGAGTTATCTGACAGACCTGGAAATCAAATCGTAGAGAGATGCTAAGGACAGCTGTCCCTGTGTGCGACTGCTCAATTTTGACTGTCTGTGCATTCCACGCTTCAGTGGGCCCCATACTGAGACCACCAGTGTGACATGTATCTGGAGTTCTTCTAAAAAAATGTACCGCAGTTCTTAGAGTTCTTCCAAATCGAGTTATTAATATACAATTTGTACTTCCAATTAGTGCATCAGTTGTTAACTATGCATTAGTGAAAATGCAAAAAATCTTCTTGTATATTCTAGTTTTAGGGAATCGTAAGTTTGTCCATGCAACCTCTAATTCTGTTACAATTTTAGCTACAATTGCCACAAATTATTTTGGTTCACTGTGATGGTTTTTGAATTGATTTATGTTATCATAATTATTTCTTATGTTCTCAACTAGTCTTTGCAGTTATATCCTTCGTTGTTATTCTTGCAACAAAGTATTATTGTTTGGCTTGTGGCATATAGGGACTATCACGAAGGGTGCAGCTTTACTACATCAAGAGGGCGCCAGGGAAGTCTATGCCTGCAGTACACATGCGGTTTTTAGGTATGTTGAATTTATCTGGTGCATGAATCTCCACTTTCACTCTTTTGGTATGACATATAGAGAATTTTTTTTCAGCAAAGGTTGTGATCTTGACAATATCCACTGGTGCCAACAACCATTAGTTCTTTTTTGTTAATCTTATATGGTACATATTGACTTGAATGTGAGAGAGAGTGCCTTTATCGTAAAGGTATGGCTTGCCCAAAGCGACCTGATGGTCGAAGGAACACCCTCTGTTGAAAGTATAAACAAAGGTGTGAATGTGTATCTTGCCATCCTCTGTTTCAACATGCATTATAATTAGGTGAAAGGATCCAATAAAGTATCTGCAGATTTGATATATGATTGTCATTTCTAGTTGATTGACATTTAAGGAATGAGTTCTAGGCAAAACCTTTGTTTTGTTGATACCTCCTCCATTTAGTATTTGAGAATCCCATTTAGTATTTATGCATTCTTTATTACTTACATGAATATTTACTTTCGCTTTTCCTTTTTGCAGCCCTCCTGCTATAGAGAGGCTGTCTAGTGGTTTGTTTCAAGAGGTGATCATAACAAATACCATTCCAGTGTCAGAGCAGAATTATTTTCCCCAGCTAACTGTCTTGTCAGTAGCAAATCTTCTGGGCGAGACCATATGGCGTGTTCATGATGACTGCTCTGTGAGTAGCATATTTAAGTAAAATTGGTTTAATATTGATTATGAATGAAATTAGTTCATTCCACACTGTTACATAAACAAATTCAATTGATTTGTTTGTTCTACATTCAACTGGTGAAATGGATCCTACTGAAATAGAATCAGTTCCAAAGGGGAAAAAATGTCCTGTACCATCCAATTCTTTGACGGATATCTCATGTGTCTCTGCTCCATGTTCTGAAGCATATGCTTCTACTTCTATACTTCCCTTTGAGTTCTATTAATATACTCGATTACCCTCTTAGTTTTTATAGGAGAGGAATTAAATGTTTTCATAGCTTTTACCATTTAACTCCGGAAAGCAATTCTGAGAGTTGTTTCATTCTGAATTTTTGTCAGGGTGTCTTTGAACCCTTTTCCACCTTGGGCATTGATTGATCAAATTCATGTCGGCGGTGCGCCTCCCAGCTTCTGTTAGACTGTTACTGCCAAATAGCTACCTTGTCGGAAACAAGATTGTCAATAGAAAAATAAAAGTATTATTTTTCCAGATAGAGGCCCTGCTTTATAGGTTGTTGTTTCGAAACTTTGTACAATCGGAAGTTGATTGGAAGACACTTATCAGCGCTTGAATTGAACCCCTCCTAGGGCATCATTGAATCTCATTTCCCCTTTTTCTCCCTTTAGAGGAAAATGGTTGGTGAACTATATTACGTAATCAGCATTGTTGTATGATATCACTGTTTTGTCCTTGTAAGCTCCCATTTTGTCAAGTAATCAATCATATTATTGCTTGCGTTTTGTTTTTCTCATTCAATCATTACTATCTTAATATGGCTTTAATTGTCATACAACAAAAAGTTGTGATCTTTATTGTTTCAACATGTGTGTAAAAATGTGTGGCAAGGAATTGTGTTTTCTTCTTGAGATTTTAGTGTTGAAGCTGAACTGAAGCAGAATTTTTTTGGAAGACTTTCCCAGGCCATGTTTGATAGGGAGGATTAGATTGGACTAAGCTTGGACTAGTAAAATGCTTAGATTTCAGGTGCAAGGAAGAATGTGGGTGTTGTCTTCTAACTTGGAGGATTAAGGTGGACTATTCATATGAGATTGATGTCTAAAACTTATCCCCACTAATCCCCTTGAAAATGGTGGGATTAGTAGAGATAAGTTTTAGGTATATGAACCTCTTATGAATAGTCCATCATAATCCTCCAAGTTAGAAAACAACACTCATACTATTCCTTGATTGCCACATGAAATATGAGTATATTTTACTAGTCCAATCTATTCTCCCCTATCAAACATGGCCAGTGTACCTGAAAATAGGTCAGCTGAATGCCACTCTCGAAAATGAGAGGCAAAATCAATCATTCTTAAAACTGGGTTCTAATGGAAAGCCACCGGCCGAAAATTGCTCGGAGTTGGATCCATCAATAAATTTGTCAATGAAATACGATGGACCCAGTGGTAAAAAAATCCAGGGATTCAAGCACAGAATCTCAGGTGTTATATTCTTAATGTTAGAAGAGATCTCAAATTTGTATTTTTTATTTTCATTGATAAAAAAACAAAAAACAAAAAACAAAAAACAAAAAACAAAAAACAAAAAACAAAAAACAAAAAAAGTCTAAAAGTCGCAGTTTTTGACAAAAATAATATTAATATCAGATAAATCAACTGTCTTCTTTTCAACTCTCCCACATACATAGGCTACGTGAGTGTTACAGGTCTCTAAATTTTATGAGTGAAATTATAGTAAATAAAAAATTACTAAATTACTATAACCATCAGCGTAAGACTTCAGAGACTGAAGACCCGCCAGCAAAGCCCAACATCTCTCTCACAAGTTCCAAATACTCACAAACTCTCTCTCTTTCTTTCTCACTCTCTTCTCAAACCCTCTATTTAGGGTTTGTTTCGGCCAAATTCCCGCCAATAACCCCCGACTTCAGATTCAACAATTCTCGAAAAAAATCCGAGAATCTCTGGGAAAGTGGAAGAAATAGCATGGGAAAAGACGAGGAAGAAATGAGGGGAGAGATTGAGGAGAGGCTGATAAACGAGGAGTACAAGATATGGAAAAAGAACACACCTTTCTTGTACGATCTGGTTATAACCCATGCCCTAGAATGGCCTTCGCTTACAGTCGAGTGGCTTCCGGACCGAGAAGAGCCTCCAGGGAAGGACTATTCGGTGCAGAAGATGATTCTGGGGACCCATACCTCCGAGAACGAGCCTAATTACCTTATGCTCGCTCAGGTACAGCTGCCATTGGAGGACGCAGAGAACGATGCTCGCCATTATGATGATGATCGAGCTGAGGTTGGCGGTTTTGGTTGCGCCAATGGCAAGGTAAGGCTTGATTTTGTCGTCTTAAGTTGTTCATTTTTCGGATAGGGTTTAAGAATTTCATATTAAGGAATATAAGCAGTTCATACTGATGTGCTAAAGATTTCGAATTTGGGTATTTTGGAATGCTGGCCTGTTTGGTTGTAAAGATAGTGCTGGAAAATACAAGAAATTTTGAATTTTATTTATTTGTATACATTTTTATCAATTTATTAGAATTATGAAGTACTGGCACTTCAATCACATTGTAGAAACTTGAAAGAAAGTGGGAAATTTTTGTTTTTTGTTTTGTTTTGGTCATTCTAAAGATTTGATTTATAACAAAACATGTTCTATGATAAGCACATAGCTTGAATTGAAGAAAGAATGAAATAGAAGGGATATTTGGTGTCTCCAATATGGAGAAAACACACCAGCTTTTTCAATTGTGTCCCAAGTTGACCCGATGAGGGAGGAATGCACTTACTTGAAGTAGAAAGTACTAATAGCTACCTAGAATCACTGAAACTAACAACAATAATGTAATGAGGCAATTGGTTTATGCTCTGGTTTGGATTCATGAGCTGCATCGCTGACAGTATGGCACTTTAATAACTGAAGTAAAACACTGCCCCTTGGCGTATGCTGTAGTTGTTTCTATCATTCTATGTCTAAACGGGCTCAAGTATATGGTCTTAAATTTTCTTGCAGGTGCAAATAATCCAGCAAATAAATCATGATGGAGAGGTTAATCGGGCTCGTTATATGCCTCAGAATCCATTTATTATTGCCACAAAGACAGTCAATGCTGAAGTTTTTGTGTTCGATTATAGCAAACACCCATCTAAGCCTCCTTTAGATGGTGCATGCAGTCCTGACTTGAGGCTGAGGGGCCACAGCACTGAAGGATATGGTTTATCATGGAGTAAGTTCAAGCAGGGTCATTTACTCAGTGGTTCTGATGATGCTCAGATATGCCTGTGGGATATTAACGCGACTCCCAAGAACAAAACCCTTGAGGCTATGCAAATATTTAAGGTATGCCTCTACATCTATGTTGCACATAGTGTTCATTTAGAGAATGAATCTTATCAGAGCATGTGTAACATTTAATATCGATTATTGTGTACAGCTGTTCCTTTTAGCTTTAGGTAAAGAAAAGGCTAGAATTTCACATGAACCAAAGGAAGGCTATCATTAAAATGGACGGCTTCAGTGTTCTGATTTGGATGCAATAAGATAGCTCTTTCTAGAAAAATACTTATATACATTTGCCACTTCTCTGCATCTTATATGTAAAAGTTTACCATTGTTTGAAATGCTTGCTGGATTAGGTTCATGAAGGTGTGGTAGAAGACGTAGCATGGCATTTGAGGCATGAATACTTATTTGGTTCTGTTGGTGATGATCAATACCTTCTTATATGGGATCTCCGGACTCCATCTGTTACCAAGCCTGTCCAATCTGTCGTTGCTCATCAAAGTGAAGTGAGTGATGTTAATATTCTCTCATTGCTATAGATAATTGATGTTTCTGCATTCCAGATTTATATGTCAATCTTGGTACTTTCATGTTTGTTCATGTCTTAGTTCTGTTCTAACATTTGAACTTATAAATTTTGAACTGTCATATTGGTGCCTTTAGCTATTTTTTTAATCAACCAGGTGAAGTGTTTTAACCAGTGGAGTTTAGTTGTCCAAGTGATTTTCCTAAATACATGTATACTAGGAAATAATGAGTGATCATTGTAATTCAAAGTTGTTTTCATTGTCATGGTTCTGATGTAAGGTTAGTACTTAGCTGAAGCCTATTTCAAACAAAGAAATAATCTGGTAAAATATTAAAAAGCCTGATGAAAATCTGGAGATATATTTGGAAGCCTGGGAAGGACTGAGATGACAATAATTATTCATGAAAGCTAGGATGTGAGCTTTTATCTATGAGTACTGAGAAACTAAAAGGGAAATTGTATTGGTGACATTTCGATAATACTAGATAACTTGCCCAATTTGTTGCAGTGGATTTAGGTTCTGGGCCACCTAATAGAAATAAGAGCATGCAATGGATTTTTGAGATAGTTAACATATTATTTTATGCTGTGGTTAGATGTGAATCACCTCTGCGGGCCAATGCCTCCTCTGTGGTTCTCTTGCATCTAGACTTTAGGGCTCACAACCTTTGTGTAAATTAATATATCCTTTACATTTTTGAGTTTTCAAGAGTTTATAAGGTTTATAGTTTTCTTTATCTGACTGGAAGTAACGAATGGGTTGTTTCTTTACGTGATATTATATCCTTGACAATTTTGGACAATTTTGAAGTAGTTTGTCCATGTGATGTTATGTTAGGTTAACTGTTTGGCTTTCAATCCCTTCAATGAATGGGTTGTTGCAACTGGATCCACTGACAAAACTGTTAAGCTGTTTGATCTACGCAAAATCAATACTGCTCTCCACACCTTTGATTGCCATAAGTAAGGATCCTTCCTTGGAACTGATAAATTTGGATGTCTAAAATTATCTTTGATATAATCAACCTATAGATCTGATCTCAAATTTTTATTGTGGTGTATTCAGGGAGGAGGTTTTCCAAGTCGGTTGGAATCCGAAAAATGAAACTATCTTAGCTTCTTGTTGTCTTGGCAGGCGACTCATGGTGTGGGATCTTAGCAGGTATTCCTTAAATAACTGATTATCAGCTTTTGTTTTTAATTTATAGGGAGAGGTGATCTTCACTCAAACTTGTGGTATTCTAACAGAAATCAATACATTAAGTGCTGTTTCATGCAAGCATTTAGGTTATGGCTCTAGAATTTAGTGGTTTAGTTGGGAAACCAGTCAGTAAGAATTGGGATAGATGTGGGCCAACTAAATCAAACCTATAACATGTTACAAGATGAGATATGTCTGCATGAGGAAAATAAGAATCATTAACCCTAACTAGGGGAGCCTAAGGCATTATACTGAAGTATGGGCCTTAGGCATCAGAGCACACAGAGGGCATCTTCCTCTTAATATTTGAAGTGCCAAGTATATAGCCTGCATGTTCTTGTTGAGCAGGCACACACAGCCAAGCTCGTCCAAGCTTGTTGGTTATTCTTGGACCTAGGAATGAACCAAAGAGAGTAAACAAACTAAAGTATTAAGCCCACAAAACAAAATCCTAGAGCCAATGAAGCCAATGGAGGCCTCACATTAGAAGACTGAGATATCCTTGGCCATGTAGTAAAAATGTACCTATCTTGGTCAATACCATTATGCCTCTCCTCCCGCTCATTTGTTATTCCTGGTCACCACCATGCTATAAAGCCTTAGTTACTATCCTAGCTTAAATATGAGGAAGACCAGTGTACTTGTTTGTGTCTTTGCTGCGCATCTCTATTAATTCTTTCTGTTTTTCCACTAAAGAAAGAATTTTCAAACATGGGTTGGATAAGCACCCACACCTGTATAATTATGATGTCCTTTAAGTTTTAAAAAAAAATTATCATTCTCTGTTATATTATATTTGCATTGCATAGAAAATAAATCTTGACCTAAGTGTTATAACTTTGGTTCTGTTACAGAATCGACGAAGAGCAGACACCAGAGGATGCTGAAGATGGTCCACCGGAGTTGCTTTTTATTCATGGAGGTCACACCAGTAAAATATCTGATTTTTCGTGGAACCCATGTGAAGATTGGGTTGTTGCTAGTGTTGCTGAAGATAACATACTCCAAATCTGGCAGATGGCCGAGAACATTTACCATGACGAAGATGATTTACCCGAAGAGCCGGCAAAGCCTTAGTATAATTTCCAATACTTAGCAAAATGTAGTCAGGTAAAGCTAATTAGAGAAGGGGGAATGTAGGGCTTTATTTATGTATGTTTTTCTGTAACTTTCTTCTTTTCTCCCCTCTTCACCGTTGCTTGTGAGATTTTGTGTTTTATTTTGCTGAGTTAGATCAGTGATGTATTGACCCATGCATAGTAATTATATTCAGTACTTTGGCATGGAAAGTAACTTTCCAAGGCAACTCTCAACTATTTTTTGGTCATAAGCTGGCTCATAAAACACAACGTTTGCATGCTGATAGGTGGTTTTTTCCAGGAAGCAGTACTTCTCTAGTATAAGAAAACACTAATTTCAATTGAAGCTTTAAAAATTGATTATTTTTATTTGAACATTTGTCAGCATTTTTTTTTAATACATTCGATATTGGGGAAGGGGGAAATCAAACTTAGGGCCTCAGATGTGGTGTGGTAAAGAGCTACAAGTTCCTAAACACTCTTAGGACATGTCTGAGGCTATTGTTTGAACTAGCTTTGTTCAGTATTGTTTTGATAAGAAGCAGTGCACGTCAGAGGAGTGCCTTTATGAAGAAGCAAATGGGCTTCTAGGTCAAGTGGTTGAGAGCATTTATCGCTAGACTAAGAGTTAGTTGGTACCTTTATCTCTGATTACGGGGTTCTAAGGCATTTGTGAAAGGCTGCAATAGAATATATACCCAAATATTGTTGCTCTTGAATCAAATCAAAACAAAACTTATATCCATCACCGCCAAAACTAGCATATTCTATTATATGTATGTTACATGTATGGGTTCCTAATCTTTGCATGCAGGGGAGAGAGAAAGACAGGAAGCGACAGAGAGCTGAACTGGAGAGATTTACAAGATCTCATCTCATTTTCCATACGTCCAAGAACTTAAGATAGCTGCCTATGTGTAGCTTCCATGTCAGATTATGCCTCTCAATCCATGCATCCTCAGAAGTTCCGTCTCTTTGATCTAAGTTTGATGTTGTAATTAAGCTGCCTACAACTCCAAGAGGCAATATCTCTGCCGGCTTGTGCCTTTTCAATGAGGCCAACCAAAAGAGAACAGGGAAATGACATAGAAAATTTCAACACTAAAACATCAACAGAACCTGCTCATTAAGGAAAGCATATAAATACCATTACCATAACAGCAAATTAGAGATATCAACCAGAAACAAACTGAAATCTACAACGGCTGCTGCTGCTGCTATGAGATTGGTTCAATCACTTATCATATTAGTACTTGCCCCGGCAATGTCAACCTCCATAAGGGCACTAGCAAGTGATCCTGATATCATTTCTGACTTCATAGTCTCCCAGAATTTCAATGGCACGATTAATGGATCCTTTTTCACATTCACTGGCTTTCGTGGCATTTTCGATCAAGCTCCCAAAACATTTAAGGGGTCAAAAGCAAGCCTGGTTGAGTTCCCTGCCCTGAATGGTCAGAGTGTGTCATATGCAGTGCTTCAATTTCCTCCAAACACACTCTTCCCACCTCACACCCGCCCGGATGCAACTGGACTTTTGTTCCTTGTTGATGGTTCCTTGGAAGTAGGGCTAATCGACACGAAAAACAACCTATACACTCAAAAGCTTCAAACTGGAGATCTGTTTATTTTTCCCAAGGGATTAGTTCATTATCAGTGTAATTCAGACCCTCAAAGACCAGCCACAGCTATTGCAGCATTCGGAAGTTCAAGTGCTAGAGCAGTTACCGTGCTGCCGGCTGTTTTCACCACTGGCGTTGACGACGTGATCCTTGCCAAATCATTCAACACTGATGTTGGCACCATTGAGAAGATCAAGGCTGGCCTCACTCACTAGCTCCTAATGACAAAGGCTTCAATAGTTTTCTTACTGTGATTAATTTTTGTTTCGTTTATTTATTTGTTTATTTTTTGTATCATCCTGTTGTTTATTCGGCTTGGTATTCTTTTAATAAAACACTTTTGTTCAATCCAAGATCGCAGAATAGCCTTGGATTTGGAAGCCTGATATTACTTCAAGAAATTAAAGCTTAAAATTGCACTAAACGCTCTATTTATTTATCCCAAATCAGCAGAACCTGCATTTTGTACTAACCAGAGAGAACCGGTTAACTAATCAATTACGATAAGTTGGATTGGATTGGATTGGACTTTGCAGTTTTTTCTTGTGATAAAACTAGGGCCCTTAATTGCAAGTGTTAAAAAAAAGGCCTTTATCTTGTGATGACTAAATTCTGTTAGTTATCCTAATTCACAAAAGCCTACCCTAGACTATCTTATATTAATTGATAGAATTATGTTCGTTAGATAACTCGTTTGGTGGCCTATAGTTTGGATTGGATTGAAGTCCAGTCCAAGCTAGTCTTTATGAGTTTCACTTTTTAGGTGAGACTTGTAAAACACAATATGTTGAATTGTTGTCCAATTTAATAAGTTTAGTTCCAGCACGCCAAACAACGCCATAACTCTTGTCCATTTTAATTAAAATAGTCCAGTCCAGTCCAGTCCTGCCCACCAAACGTTAATGATAATCTTAACCTGAGACATATCATATTGTATGGGATTGGAAAATTCACAATTAATTTGCATTGGATTAGATGCAGATTGGCTAAATATGAACACATTTTGAATGGATTAACACCCCTACTTGTACTTCAAATTTGAAGAAAAATCACGAACTTGCTCTCTTTTTTTGAAAGTTTCCAGTTAATGAATGGGGGTCCATCTGTCTTTGTATATATAGTTTAGTGCAATTAGATTTGCTAACATTTTTAAATTTATTTTTCACATGAAATTCCACCATCATATCTGATTACTGGAGTTTGTTCTTTCTTGATGTTGAATCAGTCAGTCTCATTGTTCTTGAATTAATTCCACCATCATATCATATTCCAGCAAGTTGTTGAAAAGTCCTAACCATGCGCGGTTTGCTGCTTGAGCAAACAGAAATTCCAGATGATGTGTTCGCTTCCAGAAAATTGCTTTTTTATTTCATGAAAATGTGCTTGGAATTATTACATAACAATCACATAAATAAATTGATTAGTAGAAATAGAAGGAAACCAAAAAAAAAGAAAAACAAAACGAATTTTTCCATTGAAACTGGGTAGTTAGATGACGATACACCAGAACATGAAACATGGAGACTCAACCCTTAAAAGTCATAACAGATTTCAAAACTCCACAGCAATAATTGGTGAATCATCAATGTAATTCCCTAGCCCATCTTGTTGTTCATGACCAGATATTGGTTGATATCTTCGTACTGATCTTCTTTGACTTGAGAAGTATGCACTTGAAGTTGATGAGATGAAAGACTGGGCGGCATCATCTGATGCATGTAGGGCACCGCAGGCTGCATGAGACGGGAATAGTAGTGGCTCATGGATGAGGAGCTTAGAGGACCAATATTATTATTCGTCATCATCATATTCATATTCATTTGATCACTGTAATTACAGTGATACCCCTCCAATGGTGATTGACTGCTGGAATCCCCTGCCCTGTACTGAAGAGTACTATAGTTATAGTTGCCCTGCATCAACATCCACATTGCCATCGAACTCGGATTAGGAGCCATAAGATTATTCAAATGTTGATCCGAATTATCAAATGGAAGCGTTTGATCAGAAGGCTGATGATGATCAAATGATGAGACTGCAAATGGCTGGAGCATATCCACCGTATTATTGTTCAAAGAGCTCGTGGGGTTTTGGTCCTCTTCATGATAATGATCCTGCATGTAAGAATTACAAGGCTCCTTTTGGCTTGATGATTCACCCATGTTAGGGTTTCCACCCATCCATTCTTTTTTCGTTACAAGTACTCGTTGAGCAGCTCCGTTCCTCTTATTAAGTAATGTTCTCTTGCCAGACTCAAGCTTAGCATCTAACTTATCCAGAAGTGCCTCGAGTTGATTCTCGGAGAAACTTTCGATACGTTCGTCCCATGTTGGGTACTTTGCCTCATACATCTCCTTACGGGCTCTGTAAATATCAGCATAGACCTTGTTCTTTCGGTCCATCAACATGTCCGACAAATCGAAGGTTTTCTTGGCCGGTTTGCTCATGGTGCTGGCTTTGTACTTGTTGATTATACGATCGACTTGTTCCGAATTTTGGGGCCAAGTTTGGAGTTCTGGAGGCCGATCAGTCAGCTTTGGGCCGTAAATGATGATGCACACATCCACTTCGCAAAGAGTTGAAAACTCATAAGCCTTCTTCATCATTCCCTTGCTTCTCTTTTGAAACGTTGTTTTTCGAGATCTCTCGTTCGCAATGAGTTCCATCTTCAGCCTTCCGCGACCCATATTCGTCTGCTCTACAAAAGAAAACAGAAGACTTAGTTTTTTATTGTTTAAAGATAATTTGGGATCAGTACAAAGAGTTATATGTATATGTGCATAATAGGCTTTTTGTTTTTCTCTGTTTTGATGGTTTTGTAAACGATGATGCACATCAGAAGCAGAATAGGCAATATGAACTTAAAGTACAGACAAGTAGGGAACACCCATTTAAAGAGTGATTTAATTTTAAATGTGCAAGCAAAGCAAAAGAGGCATAGCAATGAAATTATATAAACGGTTAAAGTAAGGAGAAGAGAATAGTAAGATTGGTACCTTAAGTTTTAATGGCTTCTAAGAAAGAGCTTTTGCCGTTTGGAGGAAAGAAGATGGCTTCTTAATCTTCCTTTCTGTGAGATATTGTTTCTTTGACCTATATAGGAACTCACAAGTATTGGCCTGCCGTTTACTTCAGAATCTAATTGAGATGTTAAAAGATCAATCACATTTCATGATCTTTTTGGTTAAGGTAAATTGGCCTGCCGTTTACTTGATCAAAATCTCATATTGATGTTGAAAGATCAATCATAATTCCTTATCTTTTTTGTTAAGGTAAACAAAAATAATTTTTACTTGCCATAAATTGAAGACCCGAATCAATTAGTCATTACTACATTTCAATTTCTCGTTTAGGGTTCTTAAGAGATAGGCGCTTA